AGGTAAGGTGGTTGCTACTAGGAACGCTGTGACCTTCGACCTCTTTGCTCTCCCCTTGTGGCTAGACCTTAGAGGAGAGTCAGATGGAACAATAAGGGAAAAAATACTATTTTCCTCAGAGAAAGGTAAGCGATGTAAAAAAGGTAACTGATAAAATAAAATTTTATTCCAAACTTATTCATTTTTAATTTTTTTTTCTAAATAAGCTAAAATTCAAAGTAAAATTAAAATAAATTTCTTCTTTTTAATTTATTTCAATAGTAAGTGATCAGGTTGAAGGGTGCCTTTTGAGAGGGCGCACCGAGATAGGTCCCGGTTTGCCAATATATCCCTCTCAATATTATTCTAACACAGGGGTTTCCAACTTACGTGAGGCCGAGGGCCACAACTAAATACACAAATCAAATGGCGGGCCGCAACTTTATCAAACTTTTATGTAGGACTCTTTTTATGTTTGAAGGAACATTAAATATTACTGTCAGATTTTTTTCCCAAGTTCTACAAAACAAAACTATTGAATTACAAATTAAAATAAGAAGTTGATTTTTAAAAATATTTAATTGTATATTATATATATATTTTTAAATAAGTAATAAAAATTCGGGTTACTTCAATGTGCACCTATGTATTAAACAATTAATGTGCAACAGATATCTAATTGTTAAGATATAAAACTTTTAAAAGTTTGGTATTAAAACTTACATAGTAGCACACAAAATGTTCAATGAGAAAATTGAGGTTTGTCTGCGGCAGCCACCAGAGAATAGATATTTACATTTAAAATTTACAAATGTGTGTGTAAATATTTTAGTCCAAAATGAGTGGTTTCAAAAAGTTAAATCGGAGAATTTCTTCGAGAAAATTTCTGATACACACATGCTAATTTATATTCACAAATTACAAAAAAAAATGAAATAAAAAAGAGCAACATACACGATTATTTTTGTATTTGTGTAAATATTTTCTTGGATGCAAAACCTGAGAAATACATTTTTTTGCACTGTTGGTACGTTCAATTTCACAGAAACGAAGAAATTAGGTGTTTATTAACGAGAAAAGTATTTTAAACCCATATAGATTTTTTACGAAAATTGTCCGCGGGCCGCTAGTTGGAAACCCCTGTAAATCGTCATCGCAACACTTAAATTGGCGATCGAAATGAGCTACAGGTGGCTTAGAGCAGAACTCTCTACCTATGGCAACACTTCGCCTGCTTTCACCATTAGCGTGTAGAAAGTTCTGTTATCTGCCGCATGTAGTCCATTTCGATCGCTAATTACTCTAAGCCCATTTTTTCGATTTGAAAAAAAAAAACATTTATGTATGCACCCATATTTTCCGTAAATGTGGTCTATAACCAAACTGAATCTGACCAGCTATCATTGCTTGCCATTTAAGTACCATACAGAATCATCCTGGCTCCTCAAAGCATTGCAAGAATTCTTATGCAATTTTAATTCTGAATTAAACCCCAACTCCTCTGGAAGTTTGTCGCAACATTTGTGCCACCTCCTGTTATGCATAACGTTTTTAAACTTGTACATTTTGACAAAAAATAGACCAAAATTTTATTTTAAAAAAAAAATCTAGCTTTTGAAGCAAAACTAATTCATCACCATAAAAATTTGATAATACAAAATTTATAACTATTGAGTTTCTTTTCTTCGCAGAATGACTGAGTTTCTGAAAAGGTTTATACAATAAATCTTATAGATAAGGTGATCCGTCTAAATCTTGTTTATAATTATAATTTCTAGATGGTCCCTCTTAAATTTAACCAAATAACATGAAAATGGATAAATAAACTACTTAAATATCGTATTTGAAATGTAAAATTAAAAAAAATTGAAAGAAAATTTTTTTAATATGTTTTTAACCATGTTCCTTTTTTTAAAAAAATGGATGTCATTTTTTTTAGCATTGGCGAGCTTTTTCTACTGATGGTGGTTATGATCACTTCCATTGTGGTGTAGGACATGTTTTCGATCGAAATTGGAAAATATCATTTTTGAAAATACTATAATAGTTTTAACTTTTTGTAAGGCCAAAAATTAATCGTACATTGACTAGAAATTCTCCAAAAATAATTTATTAAATATTTCAGTGGGAGAACAATTCACGTGTTCAAGATATTTTTTGGAAAATTGTTTCTGGTTTTTAAATTCTGTTGGCTGATCAAATTTTGCTCTCTTCTGTAACTGTTCACTTTTTCATTTTTTAATTGCCCTTGATTCTGGGATTTGATTTTCCCCTAGCATTACTTTTTAAAACAGTATCCACTATTCTTCAAGCATAGAAGGAAACAGTAGGCTCTACATTAGCGGCTCTCAATTTTTTTTCGACTATAAAAGTACTTTTATAGTCGATACACGTGTAAATGATCTAATCTTTCAACAGAACCCCGACTTAAAGAAGATAATTGCAGACGTATAAACCAATAAATTACTATTTTATTTTGGAAATATTTGAGGAATAATTTTTTTTATTGTTTTATCATTAATTATTTTAAATTAGATTTTATATCCTGAAGATCAGTCTATAGTTGTCTAAAATAAGAACTCCCAGAGACATTCGTCTGGACCTGTGGCGGTGACTATGGTAACGAGGTATGACTATTTTAAGTAGGGGTGCAGGGTCGGGTCGGCGAGAGAAAGGGGATCTCTTTCTTCGGTCTATTGTGTTAGTCCTAGAGTGAAGCTACCCTCCCTAAAATGCGTCTTTCTTGTTTCCATAGCACAAGACGGCCTCAGACTTTGTGACGGGAGGAGTTCTTAGTTTAGACAAACTATAGTCCAGTAATTAATTTGTTTTCGGCGTGTATACATAAACTGAAAACGAATTAAATAAGCGGAATTACGGTTTTCTTTGAAAAGAAAACTAAAAAGAACTGCTACAAACGTTATTAGGGTCAGGAAACATATTCCTTTATTAACGAATTTAATTAATTTATTTTGACTTGAAAAGCTGGATGAGAAATACTAATGACATTTTTTTTTATAAGTACATGTCCTTTTAATAATTAATTTCATATATTGTTATCAGTAAAGTATATTACAAGAACGACCGTCGCCAATAGCCCATTGTGCAGCTCTTGTGCGACGCAAATTAGCAACAACAGCATTAGCATTTTACTTTTATTAATTTCATAAAGACAACCGAAATATTAAGTAGATGATAGACTAGATTTAAATGTTCGCGATCGCAACGCCATCTGGGGAGAAGACGGGTTTCATGTCTTCAGCCTCCCTTTTTTCATTACGTTATTTTTCACTTTCTTAATATTTTTCGTATTCAATTATCATACATATTTTTTTTTAAATTTCCACGAAGCTTTCTTTTACAACTATATTCAATGTAGTTTTCTGTTCCAGCTAGTTTCCCAACCTCAGAGTTTTTAATCTATTTGAAAATCAAAACAGAAACTAAGGTACTTCCTTTCTCTACGACTCTTCACGCGCTAATACTGAAAGCAGGGGCCCCCATCAGGGGGGAAGGTGGGGGCACGATGCGCCCACTTAAAGCTTGGGGGGGATTTTTACACTAAATAAAACGAATAGTTTGGGGGGGAATTTAGACAAGATATTTTTTTTTAAGTACATAAATAAAAGAAGCAAACGTAGCACTATATAGAACAAGCTGACATGGAAGGGGGAAGTTAGCAAAAAAAAAAAAAAAAATTGGGCGGGGGGGGATGAATGCGCCCAAGAGCTTGGGGGGGGCATATTTATAGAGTACGCCACCTGCAGCCCATTACGATCGCCAATAATTAAAAATTTCAAAACAAGTACTGTCTAAGAAAAGAACTCCGAAATGTCGAACCGCAGAGCTCTAGAATTCAGTGGAACCATTGCTCTAAATTATTTTCATCTATGTTTTCTTCAACAATTAAGTCTCCTGATTTCTCAGGTTCTAATTGAGCTCTGAATGAGATTCCACTGCTTCTTGTATGCATCGCCTAGAGAAAGTAATAAGCGAATGAGACAAATCAAACGCGATTTTCTTTTATACTCATTCAGTATAAAACTCAGAAATAACATAAAAATCATTGAAAAACTCCTTTTTAATGTTCATTTCATCATTGCCAAACAAACATTATCCAGTTTATCAGAAAGTATTTATTTTTCGTTAAAAAAAATACTGAGTATGAGTGAATTATTATATTATTAGCCACCTGGTAATTCATGTTATTTCCTTATATATTCATTGTCAGAAGAAAATGAATCCCAGCACAACTATAACCCTTCTCATATTCGATCATCATTATTTATCTTGAATATAAGTGTCATTCTACCAATTGAATGAAATGTAGGCAACATAACTCAATGAGTCACTTGAAAAGAATCATTTAAACGTCAATGATCTAAAAATAGAACGCTTAGTTTTGAATGAATATTTTGTTTTTAAAATAGAATTTTTAATTTGATTATGTCTATTAGAGAGTTATATTACCCATTTAAAAGCTTGTAAGTATTGCAGCCAAATTATAAAAATTGGATTTCTGGTAAATTATATTACAAGAGAAAAATGTACAAATTGTATAAAATTTCCGAATGTCATAAAAAAATTTTTTATTTTAACAGAACCTAACTAAATGGAAAAAAAACTTTATGTAATTTAAATGGAGGAAAATTATTATTTTGATTAAATAAATAATCCCAAGAAAATAAAGTGGTACGCTATTACTAGATTATAAGAATTCACACAATACTCAACCATTACCAAGCACCTAGTTCCGTTTTTAAGGCTTTATCCTTTAACGTCCATGTTAAGAATGCCACATAATTTTGACCCTGGGCAGACGACGAGGACAAGATTTGTCACTGCCTTTGCTAAATAATAAATGCATGACCCCTGAATTCCTGACAATGAAAATTCAAAAATGGAAAACTATTTGAGTATCTTTATCATAAAATGACTGTATTCACAAAAAAGGTCGAAACAATGAATCCTGTGGGTTCCTATGTGCCTGAACTAGGCACAAAGGAATAATGTACTGTGCATCTACTAATTATAATTAGTAGATGATCTTTAAATTAGAACTATCAAATTTTGTGTTTTCTACCAGTATTATTATTTTTAAAAAATGTTGGATCAAAAATCAAAATCTTGTGATTTTTCAAATCTATATTTTTAAAAACCGTATTTGTATTCCTATAAAATATTTTGAAATACAAATATCCTCCTATATTTGTATTTCAAAATTATTAGCACTCTTAATTCAATATATCATTACATACAACACTCTTAACTAATAATTAGCACTCTTAAAGGAAAGAAAATAGTTGTTTTTTTCCGAAATTTATAGTGAAGCACCTTGTTTTTTCAATTGCACAACAAGTTATAATGTAGCAATATTGATACTCAAATAAAAATTCACAGATAAAAGCAAATTTTATTGACTTTTATTTATACATAACACCTTCTTTAAAAAAATATATGTTTATTAATTACAATACAGTAGGTGAGAAAAGCCTGGTTTCCCTTTCCTGTCTCCTTCGCTGATCTGCTAAACGCTGAGATCTCCGCAAACCATCCACTTCACTGCTTCTACTTTGGCCAGGCATTATATCTTCGGAGTCCGAATCAATTTCTGTCTTATTAAAAGTCCATTTCACAACTGTTCCATCCCACTGCAAAAAACCATTATTTTATTCTTTCACAATTGTTTCGAAATAAATTTTTTGGGTTCCTCAATATTAACAAACTTTAATAAGTAACATTAAACAAATTTTAGGGTTGCAAAAACCTAAGGTTTTCCACTCTAATCTGGAAAAAATTTCCTGTACATATTATACACAACATATTAAGACAAACACATAATCAGTGAACTATATTGGGCTAACTAAAGTAATTTTAATTGCTGGAAAAACTTAGAGAAAAAGGTAGAGCTGAACATACTTAAAAACAAATAATGCTATAGTAAATGAAATAGTTTAGAAAACTGAAATATGATCCATAAATATCCCATAGATTACGTTTTGAGTGGTCACCATTTTTTAAAAGATGAAAATAAGAAACAAAATTCATTGTATTTTTCCAGTTTGTAATGAAAAACTTAAAATTTCCAACATTTTCCCTGTTATTTTAGGTGATTTTTAAATTCCCTGTATTTTCCAGGTTTTTCCTGTTCTCCCCGTGGAGTGGCAACCCTGCAACCATATTTTTTAATGAAAAATACAAATGAAAGAAACAAATTTTTTAATGCTAATATTTTAACTTTAATAGATTGATAAATGAATTAACAATTCAAGTAAAAATGGGCAACTCTGTGATTTTATTTTACATTTTTAATCTTATAAAAACATAAACAAATGCGTCGATAATAATGCTTCAATTACTTTTGTATTTTGTAAATTTTTTTTTTTTTAAAAATACATATGTAAACTTCGAAAATAAAATTTACAGAGCTGTCAAACTAGTTTAAAGTAATCAGACATTTAATTACATAAACAAACCATCTTTGCAAACATTCAATCGCAAGTAATATTAATCTCGGAATAAATTTCTGATGAACATAGAAAAGAAACCCCTGAATCATTCTTCAGCTTTTCAATATTAAAGTCCAATGAAAGAGTTAAAGCATAACCTATTATAGTTTGTCTAAAGTAAGAACTCCCCCAGCCATTCATCTGAACCCGTGGCAGTGACTATGGTAATGAGGTATAACTACTTCAAGTAGGGGTGTGGGGTCATTTTTTAGGACAGGTTTTGGCTCAGGAAGGCGAGAGAAAGGGAATCTTTTTCTTCGGTCTACTGTGTTAGCCAGCCCTAGAGTAAAGAGAAGCTACCCTCCCTGAAATGCGCTATTCTTGTTTCTATAGCAGCAGATGGCTTCAGTCTTTGCAGCGGAGGGAGTTCTTACTATAGACATACGATACTTATGATGTGAGAAACAAACAGAGAATACTCACTGAACTACTCATTATTTCATTTCTGTAAGGATGCCATGCCACATCTCGCACACAACCTTTGTGACCCCTCAGTATTGCCTTGATTTTACCCGTCAAAATATCATAAACTGTAAATCAAAATTATGATGCAGTAAACAAAGCACATAAAAACAAAACATAAAAAACTTCTAATAATAAAACATTTATTAAGAGACTGTGCATGTACGTCAAATTATTCCCTCCCTCAAAAATAATATTTTGATTGATGTAACCGAAATTGAGTTGAATAACACCAATGGAAATAAAAACATGCTTTAACAAAAAGTATTCACTAGATTTTTGGCATAACAAAAACTCTGAGCAATATTAAAGTGAACTGCTTTAACAGCAAATGTCACAACCATCAACCTCATGACAGTACAAAAATTTTAAATCTTTGTTAAAGTAATTGGCATCATTCTTCACCAATTTGTTTGTTACTTTGTCATGACTCTTTATGAATATCCCTTACAATAAATTCAGTTTTTTAATAAAATATTTTTTCTAGCAAAGTTGTCAAGGTATACAGTACAATTTAGGTAAATGGAAGCAACCTAATTTTTGATAAAAAAATTGATACTTCATAGTACTGCAGTGTATCTACCACTACAAAAATATAATTCCAATTCCTTTGTATATAAGACATATTAACTTGATTCTATAGCAGGGTACCTTTTCATAGACGAAGGTTGACATTGTAGTTAACTGCCATCCCCATACTTCATTTTTTTTGTCAGTAATATTAGATTTCTATCAAAACCTGTCTTATTTAGAATTAAATACAGCCACCAAAAACATAGTAAAGTTGTTCCACTTTATAGTTTGTGTCGAAAAAAGCATTTTTAATACAATAGGTATTTCATACTTTGTTATACAGTTGAACCTCACTTGCATGAAAAAGCTTAACGTGAAATATCACTTTACATGAAGCAAATATAGGGTCCCGTGAGTCAGCGATCAATTTTTGTTGTATTTTACATGTTTAACATGAAATTTTTAAGCTCATTATTGCTTACCATGAAAGGAAACAGGACACAACACAGATAATGAGCATGTGAATAAAATTTCAATCATTCATTTTCAGGAATGCTATTTCTATTTTCCTTCTTTGTTAGAAGTAGCAGAAGGGCAAATGAATAAAATATTTAAAATAAAATAGTTTAATAAAGTATCTAAAACTTTTAAGATTATTTCAATTTGTTTGGTTCATAATAGTACTGTTTGCATACATTAATGTAGTATATAACATGTATTAAAAAAATTTTTCATGTGTATCAGATAAGACGAAATTCGGCAAACGTGAAATATATATGATAGTTTCACCGATTTCGCGTTAATGAGGTTCGACGAGCATTAATTTTCTTTTTAGAGAATAAAAAATGTATCTACAATTTAAAAATTCTCACCCACAACTCTTCCCTGTGCACATCCTGTGTAGATGTAGCACTGTCCAGTGGTGGCCTCAGGTGAAAAGTGGCAGCGAATCAGAGTTTGGAGAACACTGTGACCCCTGTAGGTCATGAGGGACGTATCCCAATTCACTTTACGCCTGTGCTTGTTCACTGTTAGAATACATACATCAAATGGATATGAAAACTATTTAAAGTATTGATCAACAAACAATTTTATGATGCCCAGAAATAAGTAATGACCGAATTGTAACTTCCAATGCACAGATGAAATTAAATCTGCCTTTAATAACCATTATTTAATCTTCACAAATATATTGACGTTTGCTATTTACTCTACAGGACAGTGTTATTTTTTAGCCCAACAGAACTTGCAGAGCCTTGGCCACCTTTAACATTTTGGACCATTCTTTTCTGGTCCAAAATCTTAAATAATTTTTATAATTGACAATTTTACGTATTTAATGTAAGTAATTTAAATAAATTTTAATTAATAACATAAGTAGTTTAATATAAGTAATTTAATTTTAAGTAATTTAATATAATTGATAATTTTAAATATTTTCAGGTCTTCTCCAAATTGTTGATTTCATCCAGTTCTACAAATTTCCGTCTACATTTTGACACTCCACTCTAATAATATTATGATATTTCCTTCTGACTGCATTCTTAGGACATGTTAAAACCATTGGATTCTTTTCATTCTTATAGCTGTTACCTCGTTGCAGAATCAAGATGACACGGCGACATTGTCGAAGAACGTTACAGAGTCAGGGTTGCCACTCAAATCTGGAGAAGAAAAAAAATTCCCTGTGTTTTCCCTGCGCATACTATGCATAATATATTAAGAGGAAACAACAATTACTGCGCTCGTGTGTGAGATATATTGGGCGAACTATATTTATTAGTTTTAATTGCTGGAAAAACAGCTGAACATATTGTTATAGTAAATGAAATAGTTTAGTATAGCTGAAATATTATGGTTAAATATCCCATAGATTACACTTTGAGTGGTGACCATATTTTAAAAGACAAAAATAAAAAACAAAATTCCCTGTATTTTCCAGGTTTTCCCTGTGGAGTGGCAACCCTGAGAGTTCTTGCAGAAAGATTTTTCTTTTAACAAGTAAAAAAAAAAAATTTCTTTTCAACAGAAATTTATACATAATATTTGAATCACTAATTTAGAAAATCACTTTTTCACAAGCTCAATTTACAGCCGATTGCATCGTAAATCGATGTAATGTTTCCATTGTATTTTCAGCAGTTATCGATATTGACTTTCAGGTCATTTTTAAAAATCACGATATGTGTCAAACAATATGGAAAATTTGAATCTTGCATTTGAGTATTTACTTTAAGGCAATAATTCCATCAAATTTTTGGCAGTTATAGCTATTGATTTCTGCATAGTTTTTAAATTCAATCATTTTTATACGATATTATTTATTACATCAACCTGATATCAAAACGAAACATGGATTTCAGAAGTCAGATTAACGTGATTTCGTCGTCAATCTTTTTTTCGGCAATTTTCTACGAATTTCATGATTTTTTAAAAAAAAATTTTTATCGTGATGATTATATATAAAATGCGAGGAAAAAAATTATTTGTGCATTCCTCCTTTCAACAAAATGGGAGAATTTCACCCATAATATTAGAATAAAAAAAATATTACATGTTTAATTTTAAAATAATTATATAGTTTTTTTTTTGTAAACACAGAGCTTTGCAATTTTAAATTAGTAACATGTATGTTTGTTATTATTAAAAGCATCTTGAAGATATATATTAGTGCCAGAGAGTTTTGTAGTAGGCAGCTCGAAAAAATTCTGCCACAAGGGCTGTTACTGCCATTGACCATCAATCTACTGATTCTTCAGAAAATGCACCAAAAATCTTCCATATAATTTTTTCCTTTCCTACATTCTTAAAAGATCAGAATCTCCTTTAATGCAAGCCTCAAATCCATAGAACACAATTGGTTGGATTATCACTTTATAGAGAGGGATTTTAAATTTAATGCTTGCATAGCTAGATCTTCATAATTTTTGCAAACTTGTTTCTAGCAGTCATCCAAGCTCTAATTTCTAGCTTAATCTCATTATTTGGGGAATATAATTTGAAATGTGTAAAGTATACAAGGCTGTTGCCAAATGAGAATCAGAGTTGTATAATTTTATAGTTAGAATTAGAATGTTTTTTTCAAAACAAAATTACATTGGTAAAATTTTGGAATAAGCATTTTTAGAAAAATAGGTTAGTTAGATACCTTTGCTTGTTTTTAAATTTTTGAAAAGTTACAGCATAAGAAAGAATTTTTCAGCTTTATCCAAATTGGTTTTAATCAATATAAATAAAATGCTTTGAAACAACACAGATAAATTTACGGTATTGAATTAACTAGCCAAGCATAATTTTATATAAATAATTTATGAGAAAAATATGTTTCTAAAGTTATTAAGTATCTTTATTTCTCAACTATTTTTAAAAAATATTGTGCTGCCTCATCAATAGTTTTGGTGGAAACAAAATACATTGGTAAAATGAAAATAAAAGTATTTAAAAAAATTTTTCATTTAAACTTAAAACAGATACAAGTTTGTGCAGTAAACGAAAAAATGTGTTCAAGCTTGGACTCCCTAATCTATCTTTTTAGTTCCACTGATTTTTCAAATGAACATCAAATCAGTTTTAATACATATAAATTCTCACTGAAACTTTTTCAGGAAAATTAAAAAAGTAAAGTAACTTACAACTTGTTGGAACCCTTTGCCATCTATAATCCCAATTATGTGATTTAACAGCTTTATAAGCACCCTGAAAATCAATAAATATAAAGCTAAGAAATGCAAAAAATATTAATACATCATTTATGCAGAAATGCAGAAATGACAACACACATATATGTCAAACACTCTACAATCCTCACAACTTCTTTTAAAAAAGTATTGTAATATGGTTCATGTAATGGGCACTTTATTTATTTATTACACTTATCTTTTTTGATTTATTGAAACCATTGCAATTCAAAACATTTAGTTACTCAAGATATTATTTTTAATTACATTATCAGTGTATTATTTCCCCAATACTCAGTTTAGAGGTTTCACCCAGTCAGAATAAATGGTACATTTCATTTATAATTTCCTTAATACTCAGTTTTGAGGGTAACAACATTACTCTAGAATTATAAAACACTACTAAAACATGAAAAAAACATTTATCATGCTTCAGAAACTTAAAATTTTTAATGGAGTTATTCAAAAAAATAAATAAATAAATAAATAAATCAAAGAAATATTTGATTAAAATTATAGCTAAAATTTTAAAAATTTTGAAGGAGAATTGGAAACTAAAAATTCAAAGCTAAATTTAGCTAAACATTCAAAGCTAAAATTTAGATAAAAATTCAAAAACTGTAAAGTTGGATTTCACAATAAGGTCTCCCACATTTGATATTTTAATTTGCTGACTTTCCATTGAATAAACATTTAGGAACATAACTAAATATTTTTTAATATTTCATCATATAATCGCTATGAAAATGGAGAAAGTAAAAGTATTAAGAAATGAACAAAATAGATAGTAACTTATATCAAGATAGTAATTTTTAATGTATAGTGACAGAATAAATAAATAATTTTTACCTCTACACTAGATGAAGGGGAAAAAGCTCTCATGTCCCAAAGTTTGATTGTTTGATCTTTGCTGTTAGTAATTAAGTGCCTTCCATCACCCTTTCAATAAATAAATCAAAAACATTACAAATTAAATATAAGAAAATGTTACAAAAAAGTAAAAAATATAGATTTTTTTAAAGGAAAAAACATTAAACAACTTAGATTTTTAGAAACAATACAGGGGGGGGGGGAGCAAGCTATGTCCCCGTCAAAAACATTGAATATTTCTTTTATAATTTTAGGACATTCTTCAAAACTCTTTTTGCTAAAAGAAAAAAAGCCACAGTTTGAGAGTGCATAAAATGGCAATAAATCTCAAGTTTTAATAATGGTTAATAATGGCAATAAAGCTTAAATTTTATACTCTCTATGCTATCCAATGAATAAATGCTGTCTAAAATTTTAAACAGACAAATAGCTTCGAACATGTAAGAAGTCATTAGACTTCTTTTTTTAAAAAAATTCTAATTTGATGAGATATTTCTACCTAGATGAAAATATTTGAAATGAATAATTGGTTATTTTTACACACTTTTCTGAATCCAAACAATGCACCAATGAAACATTTTATTAGATAATGAAAAAATAGACCACAAACACTTTTCATTTAGTTGAATCATTTAGTTGAATCATTTAGCAAAATTTTTAAGAATAGCATAAAGGGTGTTAGTGAAACAGGCACAAAACACAACTTAACTGCCATGAATAATTGTTACAAAATTGCAATAATTATAAAAATAGCATATTATTTGCTAAGAAGTGTCACTTTATATAGTGTATGATATGACAATTATTTTATAGGAATCTTATTTTATTTTAGATTCTAAGAGATAGATTTAAAAAATAAGAAAAGGGTAAAAATACACATATATTTTTTTTTTACTTTTGAATCAACATATGTCAAACCATCCTCATGACCAGCTAAAACTCCAACAGGCTTTGGATGTGATTCACACAGTGTTCTACGATCCCAGACCTAAAAACATTAAACACCTTATTTAATATTCTATATTAAATACAAATAATGATTGTAGTGTATATCTATCACTACAAAAATACAATTCCAATTCCCTAGCATATAAGACATGTTAACTTTCTATGTTAGGGGTACCTTTTCATAGATGAAGGTTGACATTGTCGATAACTTCTATTCCCACATTGATGACCTTCAAATGTGATGTGAACATGCCTACCTAGACAGAAACTTCCACCTTGAAATGAACACACCTATCTTAACTGTAACACTCTCTTCCATTTGAACATGCCTACTCCGATGGATGGTCCACATTGACCAGTTGACTCACTACTTGATACTGTGACATTGTCCTCTTCACGATGTTGTTTCTCAGTCTCTATCACACACAACATACACACTCGACTGCTAAAGGCAACACAGGAGCGACCATGAATTTAATACAACTCTCACAATCAGCACTCAAAAAGTACAGCATATACACTCGACTGCAACATAGGAGCAACCACGACCGTGAACTTAATACAGCTCTAACGATCACTACTCAAGAAGTACGGTGATCTTAATAGAGCTCTCTCTCGGCTTCTCATAAAACAGCAATGAATCAACTAGTGGTATCCCATTCAATGAATTCTATCACAGATAAAATTCTGGTGGGGGGGGGAGAACTGTAGTGTATCTACCACTACAAAAATACAATCCAATTCCCTAGTATATAAGACATGTTAACTTGATTCTATGTTAAGGTACCTTTTCGTAGATGAAGGTTGACATTGTCGATAACAACACTTCCCACATTTTAAAAACCTGCACAATCTTTAATTTCTTGTAAATTTTAAATTTTTTTCTTTTAAGAAAATGAATTATTCTTTAGACTTTGAAGAAATATTTACCCAACAAAACTTTTTTCTCATTAGTTTTATAACAGGTTTGGTGTAATGTGAGCTATTGATTTTTGCAATTAATCTAGATTGTTGGTGAGTTTAACATTAAAGCTCACTGCAGAGGAGAAAGATGACAGGAAGTATAGGATACCCAGAACTTTAACATTACACCTCTTTTAAAAGACTGTTGTTTCTCCCAAATTTTTAGTGAAAGTAATAAAAGTGGCCAATATTTATTTCTTACATTAAATAAAAGTTAACCACAATTTTATTTAATAATAAAATAAATATTCGGGAACCTGATAAAAAAAATCATCACCCAAAAACTTATTGCTTTTAAAAATTAGAACAACTTGGTAATTTTATAAAAATTTTTTAGAAGAGCAGTCATTCCCGTTAACGTTAATACTAAAAGTTATAACTAAATCTTATCCCAGAATTGAGGAAGCAATTTTGGTCGGCTCAATTTCAACTGTGCAGATTATTCTGCTCTATCAGCAATCCAATAACTTCTATAGATAAATGTAAATACAAAGAAAATTTGAGTCATTGGTTCTATTACGCATTCATATACATTTTCACAGGTCTGTTTATATCTCTCTACTAGAATTTTTTTTAAAAGTTAATAAAGTTAATTTAAATGAACAATCCTGAGACAGAGAGTGAATAATGTTAGCAATTATGATAAAATAAGCTATTTGTGAAAATAAACACAAACCAAATCATGGAACCAAAAACCAAAACACCATACCATCCATTGATTTTTTGTCTCTAAAATTGATCATTTATTTCATAGTCAAATTTTAATGGTCCTGACCACCTCTAATTTTGAATCCTTGAAAAAGCAGGGGTATAATAAAATTCACTATATCAGTTAAGAACCAAAATTCAATTAATTGTACTGAAGTAAAATCAATCGAAGATTATCAAAACAATTCAAATGCCAAATCAGTTATTACTTCCAACAACTTACTTTGCATATTCCATCATCGCCTCCGCTGAAAAGTATCTGAGAAGTATTGTCAGCGAACGCAACAGTATTTACATCATCTTCATGAGAGTATATCTATAGTATAATCAAGAATTTAATGATAAATTGCAGAATTGAGTCATATTTTATTTATTATATAATCAATACATTTTGAAATTTTTATTATTACCACTCATAAAAGTAATTTATTTGAGCTTGTGAGTTCAGGTCAGAGGTGATTGTGAGTCCAACTCAAAAATCCTGAAAATTTCTTGAGTAAAATCATTAATGACNCAGTCCCCTTGCTGTCAGGCTAACCGTGGGAGATTCTCGTGGTCTTCCTCTCCATGTAACACAAACGCGGGTCAATTCCATCAAAAAATCATTCACAAAGGCAAATTTGTCCCACTACTTGATCCAGGAGTTCCCTTGTCTTCTGGATTGGGTTCAAAATTAAAAGGGTATGAAGTTGAAAATTAGAAGCCATAAACCCAAAATGGGGTCGGCTGTTCAACGAACAAATATGAAATAATATAAAAAATAAGAATTTTTAGAAAAATAGTTTAGTTAGATACCTCTGCTTGTTTTTAAATTTTTGAAAAGTTATAGCGTAAGAAAGAATTTTTCAACTTTATCAAAATTGGTTTTAATATAAATAAAATGTTTTGAAACAACACAGATAAATTTATGGTATAGAATTAACTAGCCAAAACTTCAAGCATAATTTTATATAAATAATTTATGAGAAAAATATGTTTTTTTAAAGTGATTAAGTATCTTTATTTTTCAACTATTTTTGAAAAATATTGTGCTGCCTCATCAATAGTTTTGGTGCAAACAAATACAAATACAATACATTGGGAAAACGAAAATAAAAGTATTTAAAAAAATTGTCATTTAAACTTAAAACGGATAGAAGTTTGTGTACTAAACGAAAAAATGTGTTCAAGCTTGGACTCCCTAATATATCATTTTAGTTCCACTGATTTTTTAAATGAACATCAAAAAAGTTTTAACACGTATAAATTCTCACTGAAACTTTTCCAGAAAAATTAAATGAGCAAAGCAACTTACGACTTGTTGGAACCCTTTGCCATCTGTAATCCCAATTATGTGATTTAACAGCCTTATAAGCACCCTGAAAATCAATAAATATAAAGCTAAGAAATGCAAAAAATCAAAACAAAATATTAATACATTATTTAGACAAAAGCAATTTCAATTATTTCCTAAAAATACAGAAATGACAACACACATACATGTCAAACACTTTACAATCCTCACAACTTCTTTTAAAAAATTATTATAATATGGTTCATGTAATGGGCACTTTACACTTATCTTTTTTGATTTATTGCAATTCAAAACATTTAGTATATCAAGATATTAATTTTTAATTACATTATCAGTATATTATTTCCTCAATACTCAGTTTTGAGGATTCATGACTCAGAATGAATGGTACATTTTGTTTATAATTTCCTCTAGGTTTTATGACTTATGGTATATTTGGCTTATAATTTCCTTAATACTCAATTTTGAGGTTTCATAAAACATAAAGAATCAAGAATTAATTATACAACACAATTAAAAAATGAAAGAAAAAAAAACATTTATCATAATCAGAAACTTAAATATTATAATGGGGTAATTCAAAAATTAAATAACACAATAAAAAAATTAAAGAAATATTTGATTAAATTATAGTTTTATCTAAATTTTGAATGAAAATTGGAAACTAAAAATCCAAAGCTAGATTTAGCTAAACATTCAAAGCTAAAATTTAGATAAAAATTCAAAAACTGTTAAGTAGGATTTCACAATAAGGTCTCCCACATTTGATATTTTATTTTGCTGACTTTCCATTGAATAAACAATTAATTATGAACATAACTAAATATTTTTTTAATATTTCATCATACAATTGCTGTGAAAGTGAAGAAAATAAAAGTATTAAGGAATGAACAAAATAGATAGCAACTTATACCATGATGGTAATTCTTAATGTATAGTGATATAATAAATAATTTTTACCTCTACACTAGATGAAGGGGAAAAAGCTCTCATGTCCCAAAGTTTGATTGTTTGATCTTTGCTGTTAGTTATTAAGTGCCTTCCATCACCCTTTCAATAAATAAAAAACGTTACAAATTAAATCTAAGAAAAAGTTACAAAAATGCAAAAAATATAGATTTTTTTTAAAGAAAAAAATATATATAATTAAGCAACCTAGATTTTTAAAAACAATAGAGAAGGGAGCAAGCTATGTCCCCGTCAAAAATATGGAATGTTTTTTTTTTCATAATTTCAAAACATTCTTCAAAATTCTTTTTGCTAAAGGAAAAAAAAAGCCAAAATTTGAGAGGTTTAAAATGGCAATAAAGCTTCAATTTTATGCTAGCCATACTATCCTATGGAAAAGTATTGTCTAGAATTGGACAAATAGCTTAGAACATATAAGTCTTTAAACTCAAAAAAAAAAAAAAANAAAAAAAAAAAAAAAAAAAAAAAAAAAAAAAAAATGCTAATTTAATTAGATGTTTCCACTGAGATGAAAATCTTTAAAATGAATAATTGGTTATTTTTACACACTTTTCTGAATCCAAATAATGCACCAATCAAACATTTTAATAGATAATGAAAAATTAGCCCACAAACATTTCTGATTTAGTCGTATCATTTAAGAAAATTTTTATGAATAGCATAAAGGGTGTAAGTGAAATAGGCACAAAACACAACCTAACAGCCATGAATAACTATTACAAAATCGCAATAATCTTCTTAGAGATCTTATTTTTTATTAGCTTTTAAGTGACAGATTTAAAAAATAAGAAAAGGGTAAAAATACATATATATATTTTTTTTACTTTTGAATCAACATAAGTCAAACCATCCTCATGACCAGCTAAAACTCCAACAGGCTTTGGATGTGACTCACACAGTGTTCTACGATCCCAGACCTAAAAACATAAACTCCCTTACTTAATATTCAACATTAAATACATATACTGACCAAGACAGCATTTAAAAACCTGCGCGATTTTTAATTTTTTATTAATTAAAATTTTTTTCCTTTAAAGAAAATTTATCATTCTTTAGACTTTGAAGAAATATTTACACAACAATTTTTGTTTAATTGGTTTTATAACAGGTTTAGTGTAATGTGGGATATTGATTTCTACTACTCATCTAGATTGCCGATTCGATGCTCAAGATTAAAGCTCACTTCGGAAGAGAAAGATGGCAGGAAGTATAGGGTACACCGAACTTTAACATTAACCCTCTTTTAAAAGACTGTTGTTTCAAGTAAATTTTTAGTAATAAAAGTGGCCAATTTTTATTTCTTACATTAAATAAAAGTTAACCACAATTTTATTTAATAATAACATCCATATCCGGGAACCTGATAAAAAACATAACCCCAAAACTTATTGCTTTTAAAAATTAGAACAACTTGGTAATTTCTAAAAACTTTTTAGAAGAGCAGTGATTCCTGTAAACGTTAATACTAAAAAGTTATAGCTAAATCTTATCCCAGGGTAGAGGAAGCAAATTTGGCCGGCTCAATTTCAACTGTTCAAATTATTCTGCCACCTTCCAATAACTTAGACGAACGTAAATATATAAAGAAAATCTTAGTCATTGGTTCTATTACTCATCCATATACATTTTCACAGGTCTGTTTATATCTCACTATTAGAATTTTTCAAAAAAGTTATTAAAATGAATTTAAATAAAAAATTCTGAAACAGAGAGTGAATAATGTTAGCAATTATGATAAAATAAGCTATTTGTGAAAATAAACACAAACCAAATCATGGAATACCATCCGTTGATTTTTGGTTTCCAAATCTGATTATTTATTTCATGCTCAAATTTTAGTGATCTTAGACCACCTCTAAGTTTGAATACTTGCTATAGAAATTTGGGGGAAAAGGAGAGGTATAATAAAATGCACTGAATCAGTTAAAAACCAAAATTCAACTAATTGTACTGAAGTAAAATCAATCGAAGAATATCAAAACAATTCAAATGCCAAATCAGTTTTTCTTCCAGCAACTTACTTTGCATATTCCATCATCGCCTCCGCTGAAAAGTATCTGAGAAGTATTGTCAGCGAACGCAACAGTATTTACATCATCTTCATGAGAGTATATCTACAGTATAATCAAGAATTCAATGATAAATTGCAGAATTGAATAATATTTTCAATTATTATAAAATCGATCCATTTTGAATTTTTTTTATTATTATTACCCCTCATAAATATTTGGGCTTGTGAGTTTAGGGAGAAGCTTCTAGTTTTCAATAGCAGTATAAATTTTAAAATTTATGTTGTTAAAAAAAATGCAGTACATTAGAATTTAATTTTCCGTGAAAAGCATAATAGTAGGTACAAACTGATTTGTATTCTAAATAAAGATAAGATAATATTTAAATACATAAAACAATTAAAAGAATAAGGAAAAAATATAACTAATTTATTCTGCACCTTTCCCTAAACTATTGTACAATCAATATAACTCTTTGCCTGGTAACCTTCTACAAAATTAAAATGATTAACAACTGTTGCCCTTCCTGAAAGAAGAATTAGAAGAATCATGATTCTTTTAGTGAACCCATCCCTGGACTGTTCGTTTAAATATTTATGATCATTGTTTATTACAAACAATTTTAATAAATCTCATAATCATAATAATAAAATTTTTTATCATTGTCTATAAATGTTGCCATATTCCTGTTTTTCAAAATAACTTAATACTAATAGAAAAAAGGAACAAATTCTTTTCTTTAGAGTTTTAACGTGATCACAAACACTCAGAAAAATTCCCTGATTTTTGCAGACTGGTTTCATCAATTTTTCCCATTTTTGAAGCCAGAGCCAAAATTCTATAACAAATTTTTCATAAATGCCTTATTCTTAAATGTATAATATATTACAATACACTTACATCAGAGAGCCATTAGAGGTGGAAAAAAATTTCTCTTAAAAAAATTATTGCAATTCCAATTTTTTTAATAAAAATATCAGACTTTTAGGTACCTCGAACATAAATTTAAGCATGTTCCATGTATTTTAATTAAATTACCTGATTTTTCAGATAGATAAAATTCCCCGACTTCTGTTTTGTGGGCCACTCTAGGTTTTAACAATTAAATCAACTTCTTCAAAAGTATTTTTATTATGTATTACTCAACACAACAAATAATGTCTCGTTTTCACTAATTAAAATTTTAGTACTAATTCAAAATACAAATGAACAAATTTAAATTTTTTATTATTTTTTTAAAAATACAGCTGTATTAACTTACATTTTTTCTCAATGAAGAAATGATATTAATTTAAGTTCAAATGGTTGTTTAGAATTGTTTTCGTATCCCCTTTATCAAAAAAAACTTATGGAACAAAACCAAAGTAAAAATAAGGAATACACGATTGACGTTTTTAAGTTTATACTCACCCTTAATGTCCGTTTGTTTGCCTCTCGATTGTACACATACAAATACTGGTCATTAGCCCTGTCAATAAAAAAAAAGAAAGTTGTAATCTTGACACATTGAAATTAGATGTTAATCTTAAATAACCAGTCCTTCCAGTATTCTTAATATATCCATATTATAATTATGACTGGTACTGAACAGCAGTCCCAATTGAGTTTACAACTATCAATGCTCAACTCCATAGCATTATAATTTTGAACTCAACCCAGAAGACAAGGGAGCTTCTGGATCGAATATTGGAATAAACTACCTTTCCTGGAGGACTTTTTTGATCGAACTAACTGGCATTTACGTTACATGAGGAAGAAAAAGATAGATTATTACTTTCCACGTTTGCTGTAAGAAGTTTTTGGATCTTAACCAAAAATTGCAATGTTTGCAATGCAAAATATATTTTATTCTCAAGAAACAGAGTCCCAGAACCCTATCTCGAAATAAATTCTAATAGATTTGATACAGTAAGGAGTTTCACTTACTTAGGATCAATTATTACTTTTGACAACAGAATGACTCCTGAAATAAAAAACCGACTCTATCTGGCAAATACCGCTGTCTATGGGCTGAGAAGATTTATTAAATCTAGGGTTTTTTTTAGAAAAACAAAATTCTTAATCTACAAAACTCTTGTCAGGCCAGTCTTGACATACGCTTCTGAGGCTTGGACAATGACAAAACTGGATGAAAATTGTATCGCAATAGTTGAGAGAAAGATTTTGCGGAGTATACTTGGTGGTGTAAATGAAAACAATAACTGGAGAAGGAGATTTAACTTTGAACTTTACAAGATTTATAAGCAACCTGATATTATTAATTTCATAAATAGAATGAAGTGGACGGCCCACGTGATTCGAATACAATAAAAAATATGGTGATTTTTAGACCCATTGGAACAAAAAAGCGGGGAAGGCCGCGGTTGAGATGGGCTGACTCGGTGGAGTCTGATTTTCTTGCAATTAATGAAAGATAAATCGGAAGTCATTATGGAGAAATCTTCAGAGGAAGGCACATTGGGCTGTCTGGCCAACTATGATTATGATAATAAAATAAACTGGAGAAAAAAAACACTGCAAGCACTCACCCTCCCAGAATTTCTTTTCCATCTTGTGAGAATCGAAGAGAAAAAACACAGAATCTTCTTTCATCTGGATAGAGTGGAAGAGCTTCATGTATATCTTGGTCACCAGATATTGTGCACATGTGTACTAAAATGAAAAACATTTCGCATTCTATAATATGGTCAAATAATTCCAGGGTTTGTTTTCATTTGAAAAAAAACTTTAATCTGGAACACAATTTCAGGTTTTTTTAGAATTTTTTTTTTCACTGATGTGTAAAGTATGCATTAAAAATGAATAATACAGTAGATATCAAATTCATATAAAGATGCTCTAAAACGAAAAATATATAAGTACATTTAGGCTTTAAAGTGACAGTGCAAATAAAGCATTTTAGGTGTTTTCTCTGAAAAGAAACCCAATTTTTTTTCTTAAGAAATTTTTCTAAAAATATTTTTATGAATAGATTTTTAATAGAAAGGTATATAGATTATAAATAAAATAAAAGCAGTGTCTTTTTAAGTTTTTTTTTTTGGTGTTTCTTTAGGAAAAAAAAACTTCAACAGGTTATTTTTTTAAAACAAAGTGGGGTGGGGGTTGCTAACCTTAAATATTGCCCTCTGTTATGTTCAAACATTTTCAGCAACACATTTTAAAACATTTTTTTTGTAGTAACTTTAAGAAAGATTAAGTGGATGGAGTAGGTCTATTTTTAATATATGTTATATAATAAATTCATTCATGAAGAGTAAAAATATAGATAGGTCAATCTATATATATAAAAGAAAGTCGTGTTAGTTACTTCACTTATAANAGTGGATGGAGTAGGTCTATTTTTAATATATGTTATATAATAAATTCATTCATGAAGAGTAAAAATATAGATAGGTCAATAATTTAATAAAAAGCAATGATATTCTTAAAAAAAAAAAAACATCGGAATCTTTTATCGAATTACAATGAAACAAATAACCAAACAATTATATAGAATTTCTTAAATTCAATTAAAAAATAATAAAAGAAATCAAAGTAGTAGTAAAGCCTTGAAAAACATTTGTCACGTTTCAACAGGTGGCCACATTTGAGCCCAGACTTTCTATAGTAAAAGTAATGAGCAGAGTAAAAAATTTAAGTTGATATTTCTTTTTATAGAATCATTATGGATATAAGTCAACCTCTTTCCAGTGTTGCCCGAATCCAGTTGGGTCAACTATTATGTGCAGTATTTGTGATGCCCGAACTGACTTTGGGCAGGAGAAAAATTAACGCTTCTATTTTGTGAAGCCCGTTTCTACTTTAGGATACTTAGTTCACTATTTTCCTAATAGATAACATTAGTGGTCCTAGTTTTTCCGCGATTACGACTTCAGTCCAGGAAGGGAAAATGTGGGTGACACTTTATAGAATACATTCCACCAACAGGGGAAAAAAATCGAATCCAATCAGACAATGTTTTATATGCTGTCGTAAAACCGATGAAGAAGGATAAGACGTGATACATGAGTTTATTGCAAAGAGTGCTATATGGGCTTGTGTGCAGTACTGTGTTTTGGGATATATCATACTGTAAAAATTTACAAAATTTATGAATTGAAAATCATATTGCGTGTTTTTATATTATATTATATTTAGCTTCGAAATTTTGTTTAATTTGCTCTAATTGAATAAGATGTGTGCGTAATCCATTACTTTTTTTATGTGTAACTAAAAATTATAAATACAGTAGTTATTGTATTTTAAATTTTATTTTTATAATTAAAAACCATTTTCTAACTTTTATTTTTATATATTTTCTAACTTTTATATATGTCACTGTTAAAGGGTTAAAGATAATAACCTTAATATTGATTCAGAAAACATCTAATTAAAAAAAAAAAAATACAAGTTTTGGTATAGCTTTCTCACAAAGATTATGTGCTACACTTAGAGCAATAACATATAAGTTTTTGTATATATGCATATATATATTGTTATTATTATAAGCTATTGTTTGCAATTTTTAAAAAATATACACATAGTTGCACAACAGTTATGGCTCTTTTAAATAGTATATAAAGGACTAAGTCTGCAATGAAATTAATCACTGCTTTGAAAGGAGAGAATGATTAAATATATTTTTATAGCTTATGTAATGCAAATAAAAAGCAACAGTACACTAAACATATACTTTCATCTACTTCAAAAAAAAAAATCGACAACCAAAATAATGATTTAATAAAAAATTTACAGATTTAAAAAAAAAAAAAAAAAAAAAAAAACTTTAACTAGTATTTGAAACAAAAGTAGTAATAAAATTAAAATAAACACTACTTGAAATTAATTAATCAATTTTTGATAAAATTGAAATATAAAGAAAGTTGATTTTAGTTATTCAGTTTAAATAGTTAACTTTAAACCTAATGGAAAGCTACAGGAAGGATTGATTAATTATGACTCAACTAATGTTTTCTAACATGTATTCGATGGTTCTCAATTTCAATGGTTTGAAGGCCTGATCTTAAACATGCTAATTAATAAGAGCAAACAGATTTTAAGTTAAGAAATCAGCCACAAAAACATACTTTCCCAAAACAATTAAACATTTTTTTTATTTTATTGATTTTGATTCTTGACTTTCAAAAATAGGAGGCAGTTACAATCTGGAATATAGTTTGGTCAGGAGAAGTTGAAAGTTAGAAAATTTTACTGTCATTTTAACATTTTGCTTATTTCCAAATATTTCAAGTTAATCAAAAACAATTTGCACACAATGTATAAAATTTATTTATCTAAAAAATTAATTTCTCCATTCGAATAATAATTTTTAATATTTATTTGTCATTTTTTATTATTTTATTCAATAATATAATATTCAAAAAACTTTTGAATTGAAAGGTAAACAAAATAAAATCCATCAAATAGTTATTGAGATATAAAATTTTAAAAATATGACTTTCTTAAAATTTGATAATTCAGAAATTACGTAAACAATTTTACACAAATTTTGTATTTTGAAATTTAAAATTACATTTCTTGAAATAAAATGAAAATTAGTATACCTCACTATGGAATTTTTTACTACTATTATTAAATGAAATAATAAATAATTATTAAAAATTATTTTGTGCATGGAATTATATTTAGAGAAAGAATTTTATAACTGTGTGCAAAATTTTTTGACGTGCCTAAAAATTTGTAAAAAGTAAAATTAATATTAAAAAATCCAAACTTTTAATCATTCTCTAGCCAAAACTATTGTAACCATATTTTCTAGATCACGTCTACCCATAGTTTAGAATCAAAAATCTTAATCCCTTAAAACATATGCATGTTTATTCAGAGGAAATACAATATTGCACCTGATTTTGTAACTTAAAATATCGTCTGTTCTAACTAAAGAGCATATTTGAGTTTTGATCCTCGAACCATTGAGTCTCAACAAGTGAAAATCTGGTCATAAGGATTAAAAGTTATTCTACTTTATATGACAATATTATTTGCGCAGCTTTGAAAGAGAAAATACTTACTACATTCTGACCAACTGCAGTATATAAAGTTACATCCATCAGGACTGAAAATAGAGAGAAAAAGTAGAAATATATAGACAGTAGAACAAATAAAAAAAATCATATACGGATATAAGATAACATAAGACTCAATCAAGACATATTATATAATCTCCCATTTTTTAAAAATAAAATTAGGAAAACTCTACTCTTACAAAAAATTGTTGATCTTCAGTCATAAATAACTACGAAATGATTCTCAACACTTTAAAATTATAATCTTGTTTTGAGCAAAACACATCATTCAATATTCTTCATTCAATATTCATACACAACACACTAGATTTAAATTGGAGATTGTAATATCGGGTCATTGAATTACATTTTGAAATTTTTACCCTTTTTATATGCTTTCTCAATATAAAGCCTAAATTCATTTGAAATAAAATTTGTAAAATATGTGATAATCTATTATAACCCTTAAGTGAACAGGGAGGTAGAACAGATTTTGAACTGCATTTTTCTCTGGATTAAAAAACCAAATTTTCAGGAGAACTAAATACAGTAATGGTGTATAAGCATGATAGTTCAAATTTTCACACTTTAAATGTTCATATTTGCAAGGAATTGCAAATTTTCTCATTTGAGCGGCTGTCAGAGAGGTTAACTACGATATTCCATAAGGAGGGGGGGGTTGTAAATTTACGAGACAAAAATTAAAGGGAGATATTAGGCTTGGAATGAAACTATTTAAAATAATTTTTTTTTAAAAATGAACTAAACTAAGTAAATAATCATCTCTTAATTAACAACTGAAATCCTACATTACTGATTTAATATGTTTTCGGTCAATTATTTCAATTCGGTCAAGATTTAAAACCTACTCAAGTTTTTAGTTTCATAAACTGTTTAAAAGTATTCAGGAGAACAAGTAATACCTGACAGCAGTGTCGAGAATACTCCAACCAACATCTCTGGCTTCAACTGTTCTTTTCAGATTGAAAAGTCCCTTGCTTGTGTCGTATAAGCGAATGATATAGTCTGTATAAACAAAAATTAGATTAAACTTCAAACCGACTTCATAAACAATTTTCTTATTCATTAGAAAACTTATTTTAATGATGGAAATTAGATAAAAGTGAGTATATATTTAGTAACTTTCAAAGATGAATTAAAAAGGAACACATTTAGATAGGCGTACAAATCCCCATTTACAATACAATACAAGAAATATAATGCCTAGCAAAGATCTTTAACAGAACTATAACAAAAGGTTCCTTGCTTATGTTAATGCTATTTGCGCAAATTTTTTTTATTTAATTCTTTTTTAGCTAGCAAGCAGTTAAAGCGTAAAGAACAAAATGATATTTAAAAAATATGAGGAATTGAAAAGACTAAGCCAGAACATGATATTATATTACAAACAGTGCTGAAATATGTGCAACATACTACCTAATATTTAAAAACCAAATTATTTTCTTATTTAATTCTTTTTAAATAAATAAAAATTCTTTATTTTTGAAATTATGTGAAGCTCCAAAGTAAAGATAAAAAAAATCTTAAGTTTTAATATAAATATACATTATCAAATTACAAATTTGGAAAAAAGGGGCACACAGGGTGTAACAGCAAACTACTTTCCATTAGACACTTGAAAATAATATGTAGTTTAGTTTACATGCATATTCCAAGCTAGAATCAAAGTTAATTTGTTAGAGATAATTAAAAAAAGAGTTAGTTTGAAAGTTATACTCCAAAAAGTATTAAAAGAACATATTTTTTAAAAATTGAAAGTCTTAATATACCTTTAGTTATTTTTCTAATTTTTATACAATCCATTTTTTAACACCTAAAATATCGTTTTTTTTGTTTGTTTTTTTTTTAAAAAAAGATATAAAGATCTAATCAAACGATTTCTGCTCAGTAATGCCTCACCCACAAAACATAATTTTTCCTTAGAATAGCATTACAGAAACTTGTTAAGCAAAAAATGCTCATTTTTAGTAACCAAGATTAATTTATAAAGGAGCTCTCTATTTCATATTTGACAGCACCTTTTATTAATTATTGGAAATTATTAATAATTAAGACCTTTTATTAATAATTAAGATTTAATAAGTAGTGATTATTGTTCACAAATAAAAACAAAATAAGGAAGTTTGATGGTGAATAAGCATTTTTCATAATCAAAAACATCATAGTATTTATAAAAGAGGTGAAATTTGTGAGCTTTAATTATTAATTATTGGAATAGTTGAGTACATAGTGGAAAATGCTAAGCAAGCATAATGAAAAAGTCATCTTTGAACTTACAGCATATATTTAACATCCAATCAAAAACATTTGCATAATGAGGATGAAAGAAAACGCAACAAATACACTTACAACAAATACATAAATTTATCTTTAAATTATTTTTAAATGTTTGAAACAAACTTGAAAATAAAGAAAGAAAAATTCCAAGAAAAAAAAAAACATTTGCATAATGAGGATGAAAGAAAATGCAACAAATGCACTTACAATAAATACATAAATTTATCTTTAAATTATTTTTAAATGCTTGAAACAAACTTGAAAATAAAGAAATAAAAATTCCTAGGAAAAAAAACATTTGCATAATGAGGATGAAAGAAAACACAACAAATGCACTTACAATAGATACATAAATTTATCTTTAAATTATTTTTAAAGGTTTGAAACAAACTTGAAAATAAAGAAATAAAAAATCCAGGGAAAAAAACCACCCTTTCTTTAGAGCTTAAAAACTTAAACTTCTCCTTCTGAGTCAATTAAGTCTTTCTTCCTCTTTCAGTGGTTTTTTGAACTTGTGATTTTCGACTAGCCGTTCTTTTTATTCGAACCTAGTTCCTTAACACTAAAAATACCATAACCGGTCAAATGACTTTAAGAACTTATGCATCGAAAATGTGCTTATCATCTTACCGTTTTTTCACATTTGACTTCATGACATTTTCTTACAATTATATACAGTTAATATGCCATTATTATTTTTTCTTCATATTTTATTTGTTTCCAATAATACTTGTCGTATACCTATTTCTACTACAACCAGGAGAACAATTTATTGCTCTATCGGATCAGAAATGACAATGTAATGCGTGTTCAACATATTGCATTCAATGAGTTGCACATTTCTGCAAAGACTGTTGCATAGTTAGTTCAATCTGAATAACTGTGAATTCAAATTTCAAGAAAGTGCCTAAAATTTCAGATTGGCATTTTTTGTATCAGAAAAAGTGACAAAATGTTTTGGTAAGTAGCTTGCTCATATTTTATTTTGATAGCTTTACTTCATTTCTAACTACCTGTTAGTTTTTACCCAGAAAAATGCCGAAACAATCGAGACAGCACAAATTCTTAGAAGAAATAATATTAATTATGAGAATAATTATAAGAATTACAGAAATAATAATAATGAGAAGAAGTATGTTTGCGGAAAATGTACAATGGAAACCCCCTGCACATGTAAAAAATGCGTTGAGAAATGAATTAAAAATTCTTATTCTTTAGGATACATAAAAATTGGTTTCATTATTATTAATTTTTTAGTTTATTTCCTTCCTAACATCCATATTTCATGCATTCAACCAAGAAGTATGAAGTTGACCGGTTATGTTAGAANAAAAAACAGCAATGAATCAACTAGTGGCATCCATTCATCGAATTCTATCATAGCTATAATTCTGGTGGGGGAGTACTGTAGCGTATCTACCACTACAAAATTACAACTACAATTCACTAGTATATAAGACATGTTAACTCGACTCTATGTCGGGGTACCTTTTCATAGATGACGGTTGACATGGTCTATAACTACTCTCCCCACAGAATTATAGAAATAATAATAACTAGAAGAAATATGTTAGCGGAAAATGTACAATGGAAACACCCTTTATATGTAAAAAATGTGTTGAGCAATGAATTAAAAATTCTTATTCTTCGTATTTGAAACACATAAAAATTGGCAATTTACAACTTTGTTTAATTATAATAAAGTTCTTTTTAGTTTTGTTTTACTTTTTTTTTAGTTTATTTCCATCCTAACATCCATATTTCATACATTCAATCAAGAAATATAGAGTTCGGTCATTTGATCGATATTGATAGAAAAAGGTATATATGATGTGTTGGTATGTTTAGTGTTAAATTCTTAGTCTGGTAGTAATAATAATTGCTAACAAATATAAACAGCAAAATAAAGTAGTTTGATGGTGAATAAGCATTCTTCATAAACAAAAACATCCTAGCATTTATAAAAAAGGTGAAATTAATGAGATATAATTCGTAGTGATAATTGTTGACAAATAAAAACAGCAAAAGAAGGAAATTTGATGGTGAATAAGAATTTCTTGAAAACAAAAACATCCTGCTATTTTTTAAAAAATAAAATACCAATAAGATTTACCTTGAGCAGCCGATATAAATATATCTCCCTGTCGAGCAAATGTACCGCAAAATACTTTTCCTTCATAACGATCTAAAACATTCATTTTGTTAGGCAGGACTCTATAAAAATAAAGTTCAAAGTCAGTTCAGGTTACATCTTTTTTTTAATTTTTTAAGAATATATATATACTAATAAAATTTAAAAACCAATATAAAACAAGACGCTCAATTTAAATTTGAAGAAAGTATGACCTTGGTTAGATAATATTATTATATCACTTAATTATAGTACTGATATCTTTTAATTATCTATTTGATATAAAATTGATATTCTTAAAATAAATAAGAAAAAAAGAGAAAAGAAAAATTTTTGGTCTTATTGAAAAACGACTTCCAATGATTTATGTCATTTTCCGATCGTTTTTCATCCATTTCAGCATATTTTTTTCCAATCTCCATGCAATTACAACACACAGATTTTGAATTTAGAGTAATCTTTTCTGACACTCTGAGTCCACAAAGATTCTATCGCATATCCTCGTTGCTCATTGATCATTTGTTCACTGGTTATTTATCAATTTTCTGACAATATCACAAGATTTTGTTTCTAATTCCGACATTTTTAATAAGATCTCAATATGTTAAAATAATTTCAAATTTGAGTTAACACTTTTTAGCATGCTCTAATTATTCTATCATGCATATTATTCTATTGTTCATTCACTCCGTTATTATAATTTTTTCTTTCTTTTGCAGTTATCAGTTATTTTTTCAGTTTAGTTATTATTTTTTACAGTTGCGTTTGTAGTTTATTATAATTTTTTTGGTCTTTTTAATGTTGATGCTTTTAATTTTAGAATAGAAGTTTTAGAATATTGAAGTATCACTTTCAATCATTTGGTTCGTAATAGTTCCTTCATAAATCTATGTCGGCTTCTGATCGTTATTCTTTTGTTATTTTTAGTCTTTTTTACTACTTCCACGTTATTTTTCGAATTTTGATATTATTAATATGATATTATTAGAAGATGCGTTGAATTTCAGTTATTACTTCTTAAAGCGCTTGAAAAAAAATTGTGACTTTGTGTAAGATATTATGACACTTTTGACTTTCACAATTTTTGTGGTAAGTATATGCCCTAGTGCAGGGGTGGCGAACCTTTATACACCAACGTGCCATTTTTTCTAAAAAATTGTTTAATGAAATCACAGACGTGCCGTCAAATAATTTTGACTTCATGATTATTGGGAAAATAATAATACTAAATAGTATCAACTCAAATCTCTTTATTTACACTGAAAAGAAAATACATTTTGCAATGTCTCAGTTATACGCGTAATTCAACTTAAAGTAGCATCAGTGGGACTTCTGTTGTTGTAGATTAAATGACAAATAACTTATATTAGGTTGTAAGATATTAGTTTAAGCAGAACTATTGATTTTTTTGCTAGTTATTTATTGTTAGCTTGTTTTTTATGGTTATTAATTGTTCTTTTAGCATTAATTGTTAATTTTTTATTAATAATTGTTATTATTTTGTTTGTTTTTTGTGAATTTTACTTTAATTGTTACATATGCTTCATAGTGTGCGACATTTGTGTAATAACAATTCATAGTGCAATAACAATTGTGATCGGTGGCGTGCCCAAAATATTGTGTTGCGTGCCATAAATGGCACACGTGTCATTGGTTCGCCATCCCTGCCCTAGTGTATATATAGGAAGCCGTAGGATTTCACATCAGGCATCTGAATATGCATGTTTAATCGCAGTATAAATTACACAAACCAACTTATATCAAAACTTCTATTAGTTTAAGTAATATACCCGAATTCTGGAAATTTTGGAAATCCAGACCTTCCGAACCCCTGAGCAGTCTGTATATATATAATATGTCACACTGCATAGATAATATGCCGCACTGTATATATATATATATAATATGCAATTACCTCTGGTATATTTGACACTGATCACCACGAGAAAACTGTTGCCTTCCATTCATACCAGTTTCTCTCTTAAAAAAAATAGAAATGGTTGAATAAATGTCTAATAAACACCTTGTTAAACATAAATTCATTTCTATTAAGAATATCAATTAGAGTAATTTATTCATGATTGAAATAACACTTTCTAAAAACAAATTTTTACGTTTACAAATGTTTAATAATAACAAAAGGAAAAAAAGTCTCTCTATTAATATAAAATGACATAGAATAACAGCAGTTCCTTCTTCTTTTAATAAAAATTAAAAAACAAAAAAAACAAAAAAATCCTCGAATTCTGGGTAAATATAGGCAATGTATATTAAAAAAATACTTTTATCAAATTTAATTATAATTTTAAATCATTGATTGATTTTTAAATATCTTCATATCTATCTGTCTCACCTATTAGAAAAAAACTTATGAAACATTTAAAGAAAAAAAGTTTGAGATATGGGCATCATTGGCAGGGGTGATGGGGGGGTTTATGTCTCCCTTAATAATTAGAAAACTCTATAAGCCCCCTCAATATTTCAGATAAAGAAAATGTTCAAGAATCATCATTGATTTAAAATCGTAAGAATTTTTTTTAAAAAAAAGATAAAAAAATACTTTTTACAGATATTTAGCAGACATCAGAAATTTTTTTTCTCATGCAACTTCAATGACCTAGAGTGATTGTTTTAATTTCGTTTACCTCAAAAATCAAACCACTGCAATGACAAATGTTTGAGAGGCTCTGATGATAACCAGCACATTGAAATTTATATTGTTGCAGTTGTGATTGGACTTTTTTGAAGCATTTCTTTTTTTTTTTAAATTTATTTTCCATTACTTTTTTAAAGAATGCAAAAATTAGTAGAAAAGTGAGAAAAGAAAAGAGTATACCATAATTAATTAAGAAGCAGAAAAAACATAAAATTGTACTTACTAATTTCAACATGGACGGCACAGAATTCATGCCCATTGTGGAAGATTCCCGGTCATTCAAAGCTCCAGAGTTTAACAGAATCGTTTGCCTTATGTCACTTCCCTGTGGAAAAAAATATTATTATAAAATAGCAATAAAAGAGGGTAAATAAAAGTAATTCTAGTTAATAATCATATAAAGTGTTCACTACCTTGAGGCATGAAGTATCTGGATGATTGTCAACTGTAAAAAAAGAAAGGCAAAGAGACATTAGCATAGCATTTTCACTCAAAAGAACAAAAATAGGGAACAAGTTTGTTCTACAGATTATCCTATCTGTAGAATATGATAACTTTCTCTCTTATCAAGAGTATTTTACACATAACAAATCATACTGTAATAAAAAAAAAACCTCACATTAGCTTGAGGTTGAAAACAACAGATGAAGTGCTCCAAAAAAATTTTTTAATATAAAGAAAATAAATACTTATGTAATTGACACAAAATTAAACTCTAGTAACTTCTGCAGATGATTTAAAGATTTTATGAATAATTACACAACATTAACATTTGCAGACTTTTATGCTGTAAGTAATACACAATGCATTAAAATTGAATTCGCTTTCCCAACTTTTAGATTTTCAAATGAGTTTATCAATTTATCAGCTTTAATATATATATGTAGTAGTGAGGTGAGCTTGTGTGGACATTTTTTTACAAATTTGTCAAAAAACCTCACTAAATATAATTTTTAACTCATGGAGTTTTACTACATTTCTGTTTATAGTTGGACTTAAAATGTTTAGTTTTTCCTCTTTTTTTTAAAAAAAAAAGATTTTTATCCACACACTAACCGACACAGAGGATAAGCTATAGGGCTAGTCAAAAATGTTCTTATAATGGAAATAACTTTTAGCGCAGATACTGTTAAATGCATGTTTTTATAGATTTTTAAATTTAGATAAAATTTTTAAGACCAAAATTCTACAATAGCAAAATTTTTTTTGAATATATGGGGAAAAACATATAGAAACTTACCAGTCATAAACAATTTTTATTTGAAGTGAAAATTTTTGAAAATATTTTCCTACTTTACTAAATTTTTGTGTTAATTTTTTAATATAATTTTTAAATTTCACAAATTATGTCTAAATTTTCACAAAATAAATACCTCTCAAAAAAACCTAGACAGACTCCTGCTTATATTTGTTTTGCTCTCACAACCTGTTGGAATTCAAAAATTACAAAAAAAACTCCTATGAATGGTAAAATTACATGCAAATTTAAACACAAATCACAATAATAAATCTTCTTAGAATATTAAGCCTGTTCATGCATTACCTCGTAAGGATAAAATAAAAGGATGGAAGTTTTCTAAATTTCTTCCAGTTTTAGGAATTTTGTTATTGTTTACATTCAGTCAACCATCCATATAGAGTGACAAAGTGACAGGAGGGTAAGGTGAAGTGTAACACTTAATGATAAAGGGGAAGAGAAGGATCAAAAATATATTAAAAGTTTGATATCTTTAATGAGCGGTACTTATGATTTATAAATTATAGTATTTGATAACTTAGGAAAAACATTAGTTAATTGTTAAAAAGCAACAAAATATTAATGTACAATAATAACACCATTTCATTTACTATTTAAATAAACATACCTACTATTTGTGTACAAATATCTATGTATATTTCAGTTGAACTGCAGTTTAACACAACTCTTAATGACAATGTTCTTTTTTAAATAAAATTTCAATTTATAATTATTTTCTTAAAATTATCTATTAATTTCTTAATTAACAAGAAGCAAAATATTATTCATTCATATCAGCAAATCAGATAAGAAAAAATTTCCTTCCTAATTAAAATATTATTCATTCATTTTGTTTAGTTGTTTCGATTTGCAAAAATTTTCATATAAATATTTTTTTCTTTATCTAATTCAAAATATGAATCATTTATTTTGTTCAGTTATTTCGATTTGGAACATTAAATTTCTTTCGGGGAGAGCCTGCTAAAATGTGCCAAATTGGCAGCTTCCAAAATAGTACCAAGGGTTAGGTTAAACAGCATTTTTACCGATATTTCAAGCAAGCAATAAAATTTCTGGGTGATGATATATTTTTAAAATTGCGAAGCAATTTTTCAATAAACTTTGTGAAAGCGAACCTACTTTTTGGAGGAGCCCGAGGTGAAGTGTAATACTCATCATCTGAACCATCATTATATAATTGAGGAGAAGCAGCTGCTATTATGCGTACCTGTCCACTAAAATGCAAAACATTTTAAATTAGATGTCATTTGGTTAATTATAAGAAAATGAATACTAAAGATAAATAAAAGTAAATGTGATTTTACCATCATAAATCTGGTAATAATAAATAAATATAGTTAGGTAGGTACTTTATTTAATTCACACTAGAGATGCAAAATTGGCTATTGGCAGTAGTCTGGGAAACATCCCTAAGGATGATCCGAAGACACGCCATCACAATTTTGATCCTCTGCAGAGGGGATGGTTCCCCTGCTTTAGTAGCCCGACTGAAACCGCGTACCCTCAGCCCCTACACAGACTGATCAAAGTGGTCACCCACTTACTTACTGACTGCAGGTAGTGACGCTTGACATTGGTGTTCTATTAAGAACCGTGTCTTTACGATCAGTTCACTGCGGGACAAAGTAAATAAATATGGAATGAAAAATTAAGTGTTTAAAACCTTTCTTTACTTCTTTATTGACAATATTAAAAAGGAAATTTGATAGAAACATTATGCCATAAAATAGCAAACAAAGTTATTTGCTCCTAATTTAAATAAAGTCTAACTTATTTATACAAAGTTCTTATTTAATGAGAATGAAGGAATATTGTAGCATAGCTTGTTTTTAATGAACATTTTCCAGTTTTAGCAAGCAATATTTTTGTGATTCATAAAATTATACTGCTCCAACTCCCTTTTTGAAGTACTTTTTGATGATTTTGGGGTTGATGAATTTAAATGACATTTTTCTGGTAATTAGATAGTTAAAAACAAATTAACTAATTTCTTTTGTACTGTAAAGAAAGAAAAAACAAACTAAGTAGGCATAATATTCATAATTTAGGAAGTGTGTATGAACTTTCATAATTTTTTTCACTAGCAAACGTTGCAGCTTTATAAGTGAGCTTGACTATACTATACTTTCTGGTGTAAAAGCATCATTGGCAGGGNGCATAATATTCATAATTTAGGAAGTGTGTATGAACTTTCATAATTTTTTTCACTAGCAAACGTTGCAGCTTTATAAGTGAGCTTGACTATACTATGCTTACTGGTGTAAAAGTATCACCTTATATTTTTCTTTTTACCACAAAATTATGTTTCCTTTATTTTCCTAATTACACTTATAAGAGAAATATATTTTTGTTTGTATGAAGAGAAAAACAAATAGAAAAAACAATGTAAATAAAAACAAGTTATATTTAATGTTATTTCTGAAACTGAACAAATGTGCTTTCATTTTTCTAGAGATAGTTGATTCACCCATACAAAAGGTAACTTAGTTTGATTCTCATTAAAAAAAAATTAGCATATAAAAATCATTAAAATGTATGCTAAGTACTGATGTCTATTAACTTAGACAATCATTAATATAAATATGGACTTAAAATGGAGCTTGTTAACTCATGTTCAAAAATAGGATACTTATTTGGTCAAAAGAAAGAGCACCTGTAATAGCTAATACCGTCTTACAAGAATCTACAACAGGAGTAAAAAGAACTTTTTTTTTCTTTGCAAAGGACTCACGGATAATCCAAAGTTAAGATAATAATGTTTTTTTTACTGTGATGATTTTTTACAAAATGCAAAGAAGGAAATAATTTGTGCATTCCCCTCATCAAAATGTGAGAGTATCACCCATAATATTAGGAAAAAAAATACATGCTCAACTAAAAAAACTATAGGATTTTTTTCGTAAACACAGCGCTTTTGTATCTTAAATGAGTAACATATACGTTTGTCGCAGATAAAGCTCGAAAAAATTCTGCTGCAGGGCTGGTAATTTATAGGTTTAATGCATAAATCACCAGAAGGAGAAAGTGAAAACTGCTACCAAAATCGTCCAGCTTGCGCTGCTCTTCAGGATTGAAGGAAGATTTGTTTAAAAAAGCGTAACTATCCCTTCCTCTAGTGATATCCAAACAAGTATAGCAACTGGCTACAATAAATAGTATTTCATCCAACCTTTTTATTAGATTGCTAAGGAAAGACAAAACTACTGTGGAAACAAATAAGGACAAATGCGCTACCAGTTAAAATAAAGGAGGCCAAATAGAAAATCTGAATAGGTTTGAAAAGATACATGTCCTTGAAAAATATTCTTACCTCTCTTGATCATGCAATATTAACAGGGATATTATTTCTATAAAATATTACCAGGGGTCTTTCCAGGGCAGATTTTCTACCCTTTAGCAGTACCTTCACAATTTCAACTTTTAGAAAAACAGTTTCACAAAATGCGTTTAAAAGATTCTAAGATTCTCTCCCCCTCCCCCTTCTGAAAATTTTGTTTTAGTATCCTCATAAGAAACGATTAGTCCCAGGTTAATTAAGCATATACAAAATGGCAGCACGTGCTTGGTCAGATAGTGTGGTGTGGTAAGTCTAACCGGTCACTTACGCCATATTATAGCGAGCTTTTTTATGGAGAGATTTTTTTTTTTTAATTAAAAAACGAGGCTCTCCGTCGTAAACTTTACAGGAAGTTGAAATTTGAACAATATTTGAACATTGTTCTAAATTTACTCTAACAGATATTTATTTTTCTTATAAAACAATTTTTTCTCTGTGAAACTTTTTTCTACATGACCCTGTCGGAAATGTTTTCATAATGAAAATAACTTTTAGTGCAAGTACTGTTAAATGCATGTTTTCTTTTTTTTTTTAATTCAAGTTAAAATTTAACAATGGACAATGATTTTCATGGATCTTTAAATTTGGATACAATTTTAGGCCCAAAAATATACTATAGCAAAATTATATTTGAATATATGGGGAAAAATATATAAAAATTTACCAGTCATAAATTATATTTATTTGTAGTGACAATTTTTGAAACTACCTTTTTACTTTACTAAATTTTTGTATTGATTTTTTAATGTAATTTTTAATTTTCACAAATTATATCTAATTTTTCACAAATAGGTAACTCTTATAAAAGCCTAGACCAGTGATTCTCAACCACTGTGCCGCGGCCCTTTTGTGTGCCGCCAAATTCTTAAAATGTGCCGCCAAATATTAGAAATGATACAATAAAAATTATAATGCTTTTTTTATGATGAGTAAAGTTTAAATTAAAGAAAAATTTATATATATATATATATATACATATATACTTCTTGTAATTTTTCCACGCTTTAACCACGTGAACATCTTTGTCTTGTCTCTGACAATAATAAAATAAGATGGAAGTGTTTAAATTATATATGACACACAATTTTAAAAAATGTCATAAGAGCTAATCACTAAAGTAAGCTGTGCAATTAATAAACAGATTAACAAAGGATAACTTACAAAAATTAAGCTAACAATTAATAATTAGCAGAAGAACTAGTTAACAAGAAATCACAAAAAAATAGCAGTTAATACAAAAAAAACTAACAGTTAATTACTATAGAAAGCAAGCTAACAATTAATAACTAGCAAAAAATAAATAACTGTTACTAACTAATAAAAAATTGGTTGAAAGAAATAATTAATTCCTTAATAAATTTGCTTTTGTAGTACATATTATTTCAGTTCACATTCAAAATTATTATCACAAACTATTTAACACAGTATAAAATAGGTAATTAAACAACTTTTAATCTATTTTTTTTCATTGTGTGCCGTCAAATTTCGAAATCGTTAAAAGTGTGCCGCAACAAAAAAAAGGTTGAGAATCACTGGCCTAGACAGAACCCTGATTAAAATTTTCTTTTGCTACCATTGACATAAAAATGACCCCAAGACTCAATAAACTAAAATATCAGCTGGACTAATGAAAATTCCTTTGTTCCTAATTAAAAACCAATTGCCAAAATTTATTCACTTTTTATTTCTATCTTTCCCTCAAACTTAATATTGCAGTTACAAATACATTAGGAACAGTAATTGGTCCTTGCAAAATATGTCTCATAAAATACTCCAGAGCTATTTCTTCTCAACAATTATCTCAAACTTTAAGAAATTTAACATATCACATTTGTTCAATGTAGTATCGGAAGTTAAGAAACTGTGAGTTTCGTCTGCTTTTTTTGTTAAGTTTTTAATAAGTCATTTTTATTACATTTTTAGCTGGTAATTTTTTATTTTGTTGTTCGTATTAAGTATTCTTCATTGAGTTATATTTGTTGATTTGGTATGGTTTTACCAACCATGTCTTCATGTTAGCCAAAAAATATCTTTCTTTATCAATTAAAGAGATGAATTAAGCTAAAAATTAGACATTAACACTTCAGTATCTAAGCTATGTTTCTTTTTACTCTTAATATGCTTGTTTAATTTAGAATATGTGTCTTTTTTCTCCTACGTAGGATGTAAATGCATAACAAATCCGTTTCAAATAAATAAAACAGTTAACCGAGGTCTACATTTCGCTCGAGCCCTATAAGTACCTGTATTCGTTAGCGAGGAGGACACTAAGAACAGTAAGGGACCACATAAACAAGAAGAAAAAAAACTTTAAAATGCATTGATAAAAATAGGATTTTTATCATAACTAATAAAAGCTATAAAGCGTCTAATAAATAACAAAACTTTATAATAATTGAAAAAAAAAAAAAAAACAGGGGCTCCCAACTCCAATATTACATGTGAATATATATTACAAAAAATCAAATTTTATGTAAATTCATGTACACTACACATCCCCAATCTTTTAATTTTAATATCAAAAGCTAAAGTAAAAGTAACCTTCGAATTAAAAAGCGCAATATCGTTGCAATATCTCGATCACGATCATTACTGTCAGTATCTGAGGCAAAATCACTATCAGTTCTGTCAGTCATTGTCCTTGCATGAAATAAACTAGATCCCATAAATTTTACATTTTTTGATCACTTTATAATTCCTTTGACAAAAAAACGCCGTGGGAGAAAATACTTTTAAGAAAATGATCCCTTATGAAACAAAATATATATTGAATATTATGTAAATTCTAGAGATTGATAACTACAACAACACAACAGTTTAATAAGCATTAACCTTAGCAGAACTAACTTTAATCCAAAATTGGCACATGTGATCCAGAAAGAGATGATGCGGTGGCCTAGTGATTTGGCAAAACACTTAAAGGATTTTTGACTCTTTTTGAGTTCAAACGAAGTGAAGTGAATACTGATATTTTCAGATTTCCCGATTCCCGAAAACGTGTAAGCCTTCCGTACAAAAGTAAATTGTTCATATAAAACTTGAGCAAATTTCTATTTATTTGAAATGGCTGTTGTAAGTAAATAACTCAAATATTTATTTATTTTCTTTGCATCGATTTTATTTTGTTTTTCATTATTAAACTATTTTGATGTCTTAATATTCTTTTTAAATTGGTATCGTGTGATCAATGTATTTTAGTAATGACTGTATGATAATTATCTAGGTAATAAATATTATCGATCGAAAAGAAGTTTTTTTTTTTAAGTAACGTAGAAAAATACTGAACTTTTTTTCGTGTCTTATTTTTTTTGTCAAGATTGAAATACTATTCCACAATACACCATGCATTGCTTCTTATACAGTGTGGTAATGGAGCTTACTGTAAAAGATAGTGATTTAAGGCACGTGCAAGGAAGTGTATCTTTAGAATATAATGATTATTTCATACATTTAAAATTAGATCTAGTTACTTCAAGTGTGATTTCTATTCAATTATAGATTGCTACATAATTAGGCTTAGTTACAATAATAAAACATAATTAAAAATACTTTGACTATAGTGAGTGGAGATTTTAGAGCTCGCATACAGGTGTTTTGACGTTACAGGGGACACTTCGGAATTTATAACCGTTGTTGAACAGCCGACCCAATTTCATGGGTTTACAACTACTTACGTTCAACTCCGTAGCCTTGTAATTTTGAACCAATCCAGAAGACAAGGAAACTCCTGGATCANTTTTTTCCAATGGCAGGCACTGAATTTGAATCTTTGCCTATACTATGCCAGAATTGTTGCTCATTTCGCGTTACCCAGCGGGCACCTGTGAACCAAAGTTACGGAGGCGAGCAACATTGCCCATGTCACACTGCCACAAACCCGTTTATAGGGTGGGCCACATTCACACATCATGGCTGGCTACAAGTTAAACCTTTCGAGTTGATCCCTTTCTGTTATTTTTTTTTTTAGTTTGTTTGCGGGCCACTGCCTGGAAGTTGACAAGGCTTGGCGATTAGGGGAGTTTTTAGTTTCCTGATCTGTGCTAGAATTATTGCCAAGTCTTGGCATCTTCCGGGTAGCAGCCGTGAGAAACTAAAAGAACATCACAAGAAAAGAATCATCTCAAAATGTGTAACTCGTACCACAACAGATCGCGATAGAAAAATATCCCTTGCTATTAGTTATAGATTTCATACAGGAAACTTGAAATAGCTTCATAAAAACTGACCAACTTGTAGCCATCGTTGGACAAACTTGTTCTTTTTTCTTTTTTTTTTTTAATTGCAAGTTTCGAATTTACTTTGGCCCTTAACAGTTGTAGTTGATGTGAAAGATCCGCTACACTGGTGCAATGTTAAGGATTTTGGTACAAATTTATTGTATTACTTTCCAATATTTGTACACATTGTGATGCTTTGTCACATAAATTATTTATACGTTTATATTTCAGTTGTGTGATTTTAAGTGATGATTAAGCAATTATATTCTCTTATGATAAACTCAGTCCTCTGTTACCATTCTAAACGAAAGTTAGGAATTGCTAAAAAGTTTAACAACCAAGTGTGTTTTTTTTCCTTAGAAAAAACCATTAAATAACACTTATAATATTATATGTAACAAGTAAAAGGAGGGGAACAATAATTAGAATTACTCCAAGATAATTAATGCATAAGCAAATTTTTTATTAAAATGTTTCCAACCTGTTAAAGGTGTTAATTGAAGTTTATCAATGAAAATGTTCTAATCAGGGTTGGCAAGGTTTAGGACAGAATGGATTAATCCACATTTAAACTGTCCTGTCCAAATCCCTTTTACTCAAATTATGTTACAATTTTATTTGAACAACATTTAAAAGGTAAAATAAGCATAGAACTAATAACATATTGATAATTAAATCTACTAGAGAATATTTGTTTTTATTAAAGGCATAATGTTTCATTAATATTGTTTGACTCTTCAACTTAAACATTAAACAAAGGATTATTAACCAGTAATCATGTTCAATTGGTCCTCTCATTCAATAGTACATAACTGAAGCTTGACCTTGCCATACAAGTTAAGCTATTAGGGGGTTATTCATAAACAGGTTTATTTATCTATAGTACTATTCAAGAATACTTTTATTTCATTCGTGTTCTATTCTTTTAGCATAGTGGTGATACATCACCAACGTCAGTAATTGAAACTGGTTGAATGCCCTTCAAAACTGTTAACACATTTTTCAGTTATTTTGTATTTCCAATTTAAACTAATATATTTTTATTTAAAAATATATTTTTTAAATAAAAACATAAACATATATTTTATTTTTTTTAAAAAATAGATGTCTTTTTTATCATCCTGTGATGCAGAAGTTTTACAAAAAATATAGTGAAAAATAAAAGGTTAATTTTTAAACAAATTTAGTACTTTTTTTAAAAACATTATTTATCAGTATTAAAAGCATATTTATATTTAAAGGATTAGGTATTCACTTTTGTTGGTCAATGAACTGTGGAGCTTAAAAAATTATAAACCTTTTCCTATTATATTATATAATTTTCCTTTAATAAGTTAAAGTGAATTGTATGAAAAATATCAAATATTTATTGATGCATACAATTATTATGTATACAATGGTCACACCTATAGAATTTTTACCTTTTACCAAAGTTCAAGGTTTTGGACACTTTAAGGCAGTTTTATCCAGTTTAGGACAGTAAAACCCATGTGTCCTGTCCAAAACCCCAACCCCGATTCTAATCAAGAAACAGCAAAACGAGGCAGTCTGTGCTAAAAAAATTGAGATTAGAAATAAAGATAAAGAGCTCTTAAGAAATCTTGAGTCAACATTTGAAAACAACTTCTTCCCTCCCCCTGAAACAAGTTTTATTCTGTGGTTACTCATTTTCTTTTAGAAAGCTGCATTTAGAGAATAGAATATTGTAAAATTAACAAGTTAACATTCCATGAAGTATACAGAATCGGTAAGATTTGGCAGTCTGTCATAGAAGGTCTTCCAAATGTGTTGCCCTACGTAATATTTGCAGATTTTGTTGATAAGGTTACAAGTGATTGAAATTTTTATGCAAGTAACATGTCAGAAAAATCAAACTACTGTGTGTGGTTTTAAAATGTGATGATATTAGTTTTAATCTACAAGCTATAGGTTTTTTTTAAATGACATTTTTAGCTTATTATTTTGTTCAAGTGTCAAAATTTAAAAGCATGTGTAAAGAGGGTTTTGTAAAAGTTGTTTAATTCTGACTTGACAAGAGCACAGCGGAAAGAAAGCTGACTGCGAATTAATGAGAGACACTCCGTGGTTTAACTTTTTTATATATATTTTTTTTTCTGTATTAACTATATGGAGCCTTTGTTACTATACTTTTCTTGTCTATTTTTTTACTGTAAAATAAGACAGATAGCTGGCAAAGTGTTAAAAAATCTGTGATTTCTAAGTTTTTTTTTTCAGAAGTTAAGTTTTATTTAAATTGTGTTATTCAAAACTCTTTTTAAATTAATTTTTCAAAATCTTTTAAAAGAGTATCTAATGAACATTATTCAAGTTTTTTTTTCTCCTTCTGTTTTTGAATAGCTGAATGTTTCTAGTTATAACTTACCCTTTACTCCATACTAACAATGCAGTTTATTGTTTTGGTTATTTAATGTTTTTTTTTTATGTTGCTATTTAGCCTCAGAATAGTTGATATTCGGCCAAATTGCTCTTTGTTACATTTCTAGTTCTTATGATATGAGAAATATGCTCTTGGCAATTCAACTTTAATGTGCCTATTCGAGCTGTTTTTAGAGCCCTGATGTTTCGTGCATTATGAGAATTTCGAGCCTCTCTCTTGGTGCAGCTATTCTTTCCTACATAAATTTTTAATTCTAATGTTTTTAAATTTTAATGTAATATATATAACAACCGGATCTCGAAACACATGGTTTTGTCGTCCCCTACGCCCGACAGTTACAGTAAATTACTGCTTGAGAAAATCGCATTGTTTGCGCATTATAGACTCCTGTCACAAGTCTTACCATGAATATAAATTATCTAAAAATGCAAAGAAAGCAGTCAACTTACTAAGTTTTATGAGGTATTTATTGTTGTAGGGTAGTGACTCAATCACTTTGAACATTTACATGCTTATATTCTTATTAAAGTTATATTATTGTATGCATATATTTATTTTATATCTTATAATATTAAAAATAGTCATGAGTTTAAAAAGATTTTACTTGGATAAAGATATCATACAATTATGGTATATCTGCATTTTAGATCCATAAAAAGAAGTTACCAAAGCCTGGTCTGAAAGGGAAAGGCAAAAAAAAGAAATTGCAGCCCAAAAAGTTCACAATTGATACCAGTCATCCTGTGGAAGATGGTATTATGGTCGCCACCGATTTCGTAAGTTTTAAATTTTGTTATCTTTTGTAAATAGAATTATTATTGTAATATTTCACCTCTTTTTGTGAAAGTTTTTAAATTAGTGTGTTAATGAAAAGACATACCACAACAATTTTGGAGGTAAAAGAAGAGAGAAGAAAACGTGTTTCTAAAATCACTACACAGGAAGGTCTTTTATCCAAAATCGGCGGGACTTTTGCGGATTTTGTCGTATGATGGGTCTTCTGCCGTGTAAACAAGCTCGAAACAAATCTTATTTGATGAAAAATGATCAAGAAACATATTTTTTTGATTTTATTATTAGAATATTTGGTCAGCAATGTTTGAAACGCTAAATAAATGATACCTCATTTTATTTTTGAAAAAGAAAAATTTGCAAGTTTGGATATAATTATTGCAAGTAAATAATAAAATTCCATATAAAAATAATATTTTTCAGAAAAGTGTTCACAGAAAATTTCATTACACACCATGTGTATATATAAATATTTACCACAGCTTCTTTTTTGCTTTTTTTCACACCTGCTATCAGTAGCCACCCTAAAAATGTGTGCTTGTGTCTAAATATAATAGGGTAGTAGTATTTGATTGTGACTATGTTGCTAATTCGTTTTTATCAGTTTTAAATATTTTATTCACTTCTTTCCGTTTTATATTTTTAAGGAAAAATTCTTGCACGAGAGAATAAAAGTCAATGGCAAGACCAACAATTTGGGTAATGCAGTTCAAATTGAAAGAAGCAAGTCGAAAATAGCAGTAACAGCAGACTGCAGATTTTCTAAAAGGTATGTTACATTTTTCTGCTGTCGATTATCCATTTTATTCACTATATTTTAAAGTACATGCAAGTTTTGTTAGTCGCTACTGAAATAAGTCATCCTTGAAATGCTTTGTTCAAAATTCTTTAAGAAAATATCATTAAAACAAAACTTTTAAAAACCACCTTAATCCATAGTAAAAATTAATATTAAACTCTTGACTTATCAAGGAGTAAAAATAAAAAATAAAAACTTGTTTGTTAAAACTACATAGGTCTCCCTATGAATATATATAGAGAGAAAAGGGTACTTCCTTGTAGAAAAAGGCAATTAACACCATAAAAATGTATGCAAATGTGTAATAACTAAATTTGATCATTAACAATTTTTCATTCATTATCTAAATACGAGAAAAAAATTTAGTTTATGAATAATTCAAGGCAGTCTAAAAGAGAATCTCTATGCGTACGATTTTAGAAAATTATTAGAAAATAAACATTTAATGGGGTATTTTTTTCTAAAAGTATTTATTTAAAATCACTTAGAAATTTTATTAATACACCCCCTTGGAAAAACAAGGAAAATTATAAAAGTTAAACCAATTGAGAATAATACTTATAATATACGAAAGTAAATGTTTGTTGTAGTAGGAATTAAACCTATAAACATAGATAATTTTTGTGTGCAATTGTTATTGTAACAAACAGTTAATGAATTTTTCTTAGAAGTAGAATATATATAAAAGGGCAGTGTTTAAGGATAGTGGCTTATTTTTACAAATAGCGCAAAGAAACGTTTCTAAAAACATTTAGGGAGAATGCTTAAAAGTATGTGGATTCTTAGTTGGATCTTTACTATTAAATTTTAACTTAATGGTACATTGCTCAGAATCAAATATTTTAAAAGGGTAATACTAAAGTGCATTTCTTTGCATTTCAATGGTGTTATAAAATCTGATTGAAAGCAATGGTATTTTTTAAACTTTGAAAATTTGTAAATTAACTACCAAAAATAACAAACAGCTCAGCATACAAATTGATTTGGATCAAGTGATTGTTCAAATGGAAATTCTTCTTTCATAATAGCCTAGTATTTAATGATAGGATTTTTAATCAAAACTTTCAGGACCGAAATCAGTAACACTAATGCCGTAAAACAAGGAAGAACTGTTAAATGCGATCGAACCAACAGAAACTTAAGTGCACTTTTTCCACTTTGGTTAGTAAATTTATGTTGTGATTTGAGATGCAACGTACATCAGCAAAGTGTTATTTGGAAAGTATTTTACTACAAAGTTTTTTTGGGGGAGGATTTGAATAGATTTAATAAAGAATAATTTAAAAGCATATTTTTTACTAAATACTTCAAATATCGCAATACTATTTTTAGAAATTATTTTTACACATATTTGTCAAGTTCTAAAAATTTTAATTTATATTCAGAAAGAAAAACTTGAAATTTGGAAAATTGAAATTAGATTACTTTATACCAAATCACAAGTAATGTAATGCTGATTTTTTTAAAAATTATATTCAAGCAAGTCAGTTTCGTTTTTTCACTGCTTTGTCTTAAAATTTATACTTTTATTCATTTTCGGTTATTTTTCTGTATTAATTACAACAAAGCATTTCTAATAGACTTTATTCTTTTATAGTGGCTTTTTTACTTGTATGGTTCATATTTCTGTTTTTATCAGTCTTTTTATTATGCCATCATTTTAAGTTAGTATCTAATGAATGTTATTCTTTTATGGTCACTATTTTCTAAAAATACAGCAGTGTGGAAAAATTAAAATTTAGAACGATTTTTGTTTTGCTTTCTATCTAACCTTTTTTTTTTCACTAAACTTTTGTTTATGATAGCTCTGTATCTCTAAAAGTATTTTGGTTATCTGTTTAACATTTTAAGGATTGTTTTTTTTCCCTCAAAATATAATATTACTTTTAGCTTTAAGGTTTTATTTTATAATTGACTTTTTTTTCTTCCAATTTCTCTTTTATTTGACTTAACAACTTTATTTTATTTTTTCCTTTTACCCCATATCAATATTACTTCTAAGTAATGGGTCTTTTAGCTTTTTGATAATTTTTTTTTAAACCTCTAATTTTTTATTTGTTTCAGTAAATAGTGTATTTTCTGCCCTACAAAACCATATAAACAGCATTTCCGTCTCATTTATGTTTTGTTTGGCAAAAAAAACTAATGAAATAATAATCTTTTCTTCTTCACAATTTAACTAGCCTTAAGTTAAGAATCAAAGATGCTATTATATCAAACCAAATATTTTCTAACAAAACTCTTAATGAATTTAAATAAACTATTTTATTAAAGCAGACGTGCCAACCTAGCAAAATTAATATTCAGGAGTTTCCCTAACAAGAATTCAGAAGATTTCAGGAGGGGTAAAAAAAAGTGCATGGTATGCAACATTTAGCACTTGTAAGGAATTTTAAGTAAAAAATTTATTAAATATAAGAATGCAAGAAATTTTACACACTAATAGAGCAATAATTGTTTGTTTAAAAATATTAAATGGAAATAAAATAATTAAACACAGATTTAGCAACACAAAACTATATTAGGTAGATACTCTTTAAATANAAATTTTTTTTCCGGATTATCTGGATACCAGATAAATGGTTCTCTACTGTATGCATGAAAAAAAGAGTTGCAGACTTAGCTCTCCGCAATTAAGTCTTGCTAAAGTCATTGGTACATGATTTGTTGAAATTGATCCATACTTCCGTTTCGGCTTGAGACATCCTTGAAAAAAAATTTTTTTTAAATATACGAAGACTAAACGAATAATTGATATCACGTTGCTAGTTTACGAGCTTATTGCCAGCCGTGGAAAAATATGCATTAAAAACTAAAAACAGCAAGATACAATATCAATTCCAACTATCGAGAGTACGAGTTTCCCCACTCCTGAACGGACGTCACTCGATAACGACATGTGATGTCATTGCATTCAACTCCACACGAAAGAAGATGAAGATTTCACCCGCCCCCAGTGTAAGGGGGCGGGTGAAATAGGAGTGTTAAGAGGTAACGTTGAAGAGGGGGGGAATAAAGCATGTTCAGCTACGCTTCAGGCAGATGGTAGTTTGATAAGAGGGGATGGAATTCAAGCTGAAATAAAAACTTACTTTCGCGGAAAAATTAGGTAATTTTGAGTTTGGCCGTCGATCGCAGTGAAATTCGGGAGTTTTTCAAATCAATTCCGGGGGGCGGGAGAATAACTCAAAATGCGGGAGAGTTGGCACGTCTGTTAAAGTTGTCCCTTTAGGTTGAACAGGAAAGGTCACGTGAGTTCCGTTCCATCTTACATTGGAACCTCCCACAACAGTTCCATTGGAACCGTTGTGGGCGATAACGGTAGAATAACCCTGTCTGATACAGAATATCTATAGAATGCAATTCTTTATGAGCGACGCTAGTATTCTCAATGTAAATAATGAAATGTTTATAATTAAGTAGGAACTTTTTAACTTTATTTTCGAATTTCAAAAGCTAAACAAACCATTGCTTGTTATTTCTTATGCTGCAACAACAAAAAAAAATCTGTAAATAATAAACACCAAAGTGCACATTGTGTTTTTAATTTGTAACTAAAAATTATTTTCTAAAAACTGTTTCAAGTTAATTTTAGCATGTTTAGTTGGTAAGTTTAAAGATAAGTGGAATGATCTAATATAAACACGAATTTCATCTAAAGCAATAGCCCCAAGTTTCAAGATTTGCTTCTATTAATGAATTTCTGCTGTATCTAATTGTTTGTAGAATAAGCATAAAATATCTGGTTAAGTTAGAAACGCTAGTAAGGTTAGAGTTATGTTAGTGGAAGTTATTGGTCGTTAAATCTGAATTTCTTGTCTAGATATGAAAATCGTTTACAGTTATTTAGCATTTAGAAATAGCTGAGAATTCTTTAATTAAAATAAGGGAAATAATGATTCTCCTGGACTAACAACAGTTATGGCCCAGTTTTTAAGTTTAGAAAAGAGCCTAATATTTTTGTCTCTTTGTGGAATGTTTTTATTCCCATAAATGCTAACATCTATACAAAGTTAGTAGGAGGGTAAAGTTTAAATTTTGCCACTGTTATTAAAAACTTGAGCAGTGATATAGCTGTTGTCAGTAAGGCCCCGATTTTGTTGCCTTATGCAGTTAAGTTTTGAGTGTTTTCTTTATTGCTTTTTTCTCTTTTGCTTTGTGTAATTTTTATTACATTAAATGCGCGGCAAAAAGGTTTTCTTTGTTGTTTTACCCTATACGTGGCTGCCAACTCTACTGGATTTTCCAGTAGACTGCTGAATTTTTTTCTCCTAGTCTGCTGATTTAGTTAAAATTCTCCTGGTTTTTGTACATTTTAGAAAATTCTCTAAAATTGAGTAAGTTTCCTAAAAAAAATCCCTATTGAAATAAAAATTTTGTATTGATTATTGCTTACTTGCTAGAATATTTAATTAAATATTATACATAATGAAGCAAAACTCGTTTATAGAAATTAGTTCAGAACATTTTTTTGTTCTGAAATGTTCAGTTTTATTCAGCACTCTTTTTAAATTAATTTTAAAAAAAGTCTTGTAACTATCTTTGAATTAAATACCTATAACTATTTTAAATTATGAGGGAACATAATCCATATCATTTCAGGTATGTTTAATTTCAATCATAATTGGAAAGTATTAGTTTTTCTATTTTGATGACTATAAAAATCCCTAATATTCCCTATGGGTAAAATTTTAGTACATTATGCAACAGTTAATCATGAACTTTATATTTCATAAAATCAACTGGATTTTTTCATGTCCATGTTTTTCATATCTATGCCTATTTAAAACTTTAATGAATGTAAAATGTGTAGTACATTATTTTATCCTATTTTAAATATTTGCTCAAATAGCTGAGGAATTTTTTTTATGAGCATTTTTAGGTCATCTAAATCCAGTCTCTAGTTATTAGAAATGTTTTTTTTTATAATATATATATCTATATTAAAATTGTATTTTAGGTACATTAAATATCTGACTAAGAAATATTTGAAGAAACACAATCTGAGAGACTGGTTGAGAGTTGTTGCCAATGGAAAGGAATCATATGAACTTCGCTATTTCCAGATCAATAATGACGAAGAAGAAGATGAGGAAGAAAATGAATAAAAATAAAATATTACTTTGAAATATAAGCATTTTTTACTTATTTGGCCTCTATATTTTCTCTCACTTTTAACTTGCCCCATTTGAATGCTTTTTTATGACTTGATTTATCTGAACAACTTCTTCTCAAAAGCAAATATAAAACTATTTTGAATTTAACTGCTAATGTAAACACAAATTATTTAAAAAGGACATCATAGTAGCTGGTTTCATTTGATTTGTACTCATTGAAGAAACTCCAAAATAATTTTATGCCAACCTTGCTTGCTGTCGGTCAGAGCAAGGCTAACTGCCTTTAGTTCAAGTTATCTTCAATTTAACGAAAGTAAGACAAATTCTATACTACAAGCATATTAATGTGGGTTTTAAATGTTAACATGCCGTTGCATTGTTCCTCCTAAAATATCTTTTAAACGTGAATCTGGTCCTCTAAGAAGAGTCATAATACAGGGGTGATTGCATTCCAGGTATTAACCCAGTAATCCTGGTTTCTCGTGTCATTTTTCAAGGATTAAAAGCGGGACATGCTTAAAAAAAAGTACTTCATTTCACCTTTTCAAGGATGAGATTCTTTCTTTGCCTATTGTGCTTAGGCTGAGCTCGATTCGGTTGGAAGGATTCTTGCACTCTGTTTCATTTTTCATGAGGCTTTCAATTTGAGGCTCGACCTTCTGGAGAACGCGACCTTTATCAATTCAGAGATTTCTTGCTCCAACACTTCGTTGACAGTGTGCGAGATCCAGGGTCGTTGATGTAGGATCTTTTCTCAACTTTGCATACAAGATTCTGGAAGTTTTACGGAAAGACCGCCACTCTATCATCACAGCAGCTAGGTCCGAACTTTGACCATAAGAAAATGGTGGAAAGTATCCTGCAAGAAATCCACAGTTCGAGAAAAGGCAGAGAGAACAGAAATGGTGAAACAAAATGATAAAGTTGCAGTCTGGGTAGCAGGGTTTGTTGATTTAGATCAACTGATTTATATCAATTTTAAAATCAATATATATATTGATTTTAAAAGTTAAAAAAAATTATTGATACTTTTATTATTTTCTTTTCTTAGTTTTAAAATTTATTTCATATAAATTGCTGTGTTAATTAATTTTAGTTACCGAAATTACTTTCTTGGTGTGTGTTAAATTCCAACACATTTGAAATTACATTTTTAGAAATTTTTGATTCTTGAGATTGAAAGTACAGATTAAAGTACACATTTAATGCTGTCTTATTATAGACTTGCGTAGCTGTAGAAAGTAATTAATAGACATGAATTTTGAAAGAAAAAAAATGCAAATAATCTTAATTAAAATTCTACCTTTTGATTGAATCATCATGGAATTAAAATCTACATTATATTTCATTGGTAGAAAATGTATATTTATAAAGCTTGAGGTTATATTAAAAAGAAATTACCCTAATACGCCACAAATAGAAGGGGAAAAGAGGCTAATGAATTCAGATATTTTTTCCTGATATAGTGTCATTCTTCCCTTTCCAAGTCTATTTGAGGCAGTAGAGTTATTAACTGGTATTTTTTTTCTCATAATATTTTTACAGTATCTTTGACATTATCAGATTTTCTATTAAGACATTTTGTGAAAAAAAAATTCCAATGAGTGCATAGATTTTTGATTTTTTGCTGATCTATTTTGATATAGAATTAAAATGAATATTTTAATATAAAAATATTTAGATTTAATATTTATTTATTTTTTGATGAATGACTACATTTATAAACGCAATCTGTTACATTTATTTTGTCATATTAAAAATCAAGAGAAAAAAACACAATTTTAAATTAAAATTATGGTTTGCTAATTGAAACTAATAGATAAAGAGTCTGTCCAAGCCCAATTTTTGTGTTTCGTAGGAAACGAATAAATCCATATTTTTGTGTTGATTTTTTTTTAATTTTCACAAAATAAATACCTCTCAGAAAAACCTAGATAGACCACTTTCATTAAATACTCTATTTCATCTAGTCTTCAGATTTCAATTATGCATTTGTTTCAAAATGGTTGCTCTGTATTGTAATGAAAAATTAATATTAGTAAGTTAGAGCTTCTAAAATATTGTTATAATATTAATTTAATTTTGATTCATTTATAAAGTATTTTTAATCATAAGTCAAAAAAATCACGAACCCTGCCGGGTAGGCATGCAGGTAAAAACTGTCCGAAACGTGAGGATAGTGAAGATCTTCACCATAACAAGAAAACAAATTGGTGGCCAGAAATCCTAAATCAATCTCTAGTTTACCTGTATTTGCTAACATTAAAATATGGCAAAAATACTTATTCCTCGACAGTGCTATATCCAGCACTCTGGTATGCTGAGTGTTAATAGTTTTTTTAAGTAATTATAAATAATGGTTTGAAAATATTTTTTAGATTAAGACTTATATTTCATACTCAGCTGAATGTAAGTGCTTATATTTCTTTCCTTTTTTTTACTTGCATGATTATGTATCGAAACTTTACTCATAGTCTAAAAAATATCGCTACGGATTCTCACACACAATTTTCACTTGTCCAGGGATGAGATTTTTTAGCGGATTTTCGCCTTTTTTGCTTATGTCTCTTGAATTTCAGCCTTTTTATCAAAAACTCCAATTATCGAAAAGTTTTTTTTTTTTTTTCATATAAATATTCCGCATTTTCTGAAAATTCAGCCGTTAAAATGAAATAATTATATTTCTTTTCGATTTCCAAAGATAAACAGAAAATTCAAACTACGTAGCTGCCAACCTTTCCGCATTTTTACCAGATATCTCATATTTTCGTAAGTCAGGCGTCACTGCATTTTAATATCAAATCTTATTCACCTGATTTCGATTCTTATTCATGCAATTTCAATATTTACGAGGTTCAAAATCCAATATCGCTATTTGTATTTGCGCTTTTTAAATTCCTATGCAGTGATTCGTATTCACGTGAGTTTAAAATCCAATGTCGTGATTCCTTTATGCGGTTGTAATATCAAACAACAATTTTCGTATTTACAAGTGATTTAAAAATTAGGCTTTGGGTGCGTATTCAGTTAATTAGAAATTATGCATCGTGATTCGTATTTACGCGATCTAAAAATTAGGCATGATATATATAGGCATTACAACATCAGCCGAACTGGATGAGAATATGTTGCTGATTATTTTTGCTATAAATCACGTATTAGAAATTTTTAATAAAAAAAAAAATGGAATGTTAATGTATGTTCTCAATAGATTAGTGTGCTAAACTAGGCAGTAATAATTTACTCCTTTGTGACTCAAGAAAAATATAATTTCCAGCTTTATTTTTTCAATTTGTAATTTTACTTTTTGCAAAANAATGACAACTAATACACAAGAAAAATATAATTTCCAGCTTTATTTTTTCAATTTGTAATTTTACAAAGTCTTAAGGATCGATATAATTATACCTATATAAATAAATTAGTACATAATAATTATCTTGAAGCGTCTGAAATTTATTATTAAACGATTGATTTACTCCCGTGAAAATTCAGCTTTTTTGGCCAATTTCATCCCTGCTTATCTGATAATACATTGTTTTAATAAGCCACAAAGTAGCAAATCACAATGCTAAATTTTTATACCTTTGCATATAGAAGTACATCCAGAGAAAGTACGTTTTTGTGTCTGGTTTCGTAACTTGAAATATCATCTCTACTAATTAATTAGCATATTTGAGGTCATCCTTTCGAACCATTAGGATTTAGTCCTGGATCATGAAGATCAGATCAAAAGTTAAAAGATCAGATCAAAAGGTGCTTCGTTGGCTCATTATATCGATTCATATTATTTTATGGAGCAGCAAAGTGGTGAATCTAAGCACGATTTCTGCTGATCCGAACAATATTATAACTTAAAATATTGATAACTTGGATATAGAGAGAGCAATGACGCCGAATGTTCAACCTTAGTTATGTACTGGCTAGCATGAAATATAAAAATAGAAGTTTTGGGAAGACAATTACATTTTTCAATGAGTAAAATTTAGAAGTTTGTTGTTACGAATATTCTAAGTTATTTTTTTACGATTAAGAAGTGTCACCCGTAACTCAATTTCGGAAAAGTAATCTTGAAAAAAAAAAACCTTGAATTGTCACAACGCTGTAAAGAAATGCTTTTTATTTTAAATTACAATATTTATATCAGAAAATTATAAAATCTACATCAAGAATCCTAAATGTTGATTTGGGAAACGTGACTAAGTATTAAAATTGCAATTAATGTTTCAAAGAGAAAACCGTTAGTTTAAGATCACCTCAAGTATTCTAGAATTAATACTCATTATAGGTATTTAATAACTTTAAGGAGTATTATCTTTTATATAACATTAAAATCCTTTTTTTTTTTTTGTGCTTTAGCAGTCGCAAACAGTTTTATAGACTCTTCAAATCGCAACGCATAACTTTTATACTAGGTGTATACGAAAAATCGATGTTTAGGATTAAAATCGCAATATTAATAGATTCCAGCACAATGCCAAATATTCAAAATGGCGAAAATTCTCCAAACCAGAAGATTCAAAATGGCGGATAAATCATATGCATGTAAACGTCTCATTAACAGGATTTAGAAAAAGTTTCAAAATTTCGTTTGATTATAAGTTTTCGTTACATGCAGTTCGCGATTCAATGGCGGAATTCTGCGATAGTCGCGGAAAAATCGCATGCCCGATTTCCTGTTTTTAAACCCTCTCTCTGGGTTGAAAAAAGAAGTTTGAACGAAAAATCGACATTTTGACCTCCAAATTGTATTTGAAACAAGGCTAAATAATCGGAATAAATGCGATTTAATCGAAACAGTTATCAGCTATGAATTGGTATCTTTTCATTTTTACTTTATTCACTCACTGTACCTGAAATTGTTCATGATGACAGTCAGGCCCGTCCAGAGCCGTTTTTAAGGATGGGCCCAGTGGGCCCTGGCCCAGGGCCCCGAGTTCGAATGGGGCCCCCGAAAAGTCTAAAATCTCATTGCATTATTTTTTTTTTTTTAATTCCAACTCATTTATTATTTATA